TTCATTATTATTAATGGGTTGAATTTTCCACAAATTATTTGCAGTGGAATGAGCCTTTGAAATTATATTTTCCTCATTTAAATTTTTTTTTCTATGAATAGTTTAATTTACTTTTCAATATTGTTTAACTCTGGTATGAGATGCTTTCTCTTTATTTTCAGAGCTATCAGTGTATCAGCCCAATTCTTTATTCTCACTATTGATGACAAAGTGACATACAGTCTGAAACAAATGTTAGCCATGCTGCTAACTGACCAGATTTATCCCATTCACTTTCATGAACAGAGAGGATATTACTCAGGAGGAAAACTCTGTGGTGTTATAAGGGGGAGGGGATGCTGTTTCTGCCTGATTGTTTGCTCCTTCCTGGGTACCGGCACAAATCCCTCCATTAAGGCATCCTGGAGATGAGTATCCATGGGATTTTGAGTGCAGGGTGTTAACACTGAATTTAATCACTAACATCAGTTCCTGAAGTATCTAGGATTTTTTCCTCAAGGTCTCCCATCCAAGTGCTGATTAAACCCAATCATTTTGCTTATGAGATCTGTTGTGATTGTAGCCCAGGGTTGAACAATCATTCAGATACCTAGTGATCACACTAACTTCTAGGATGCTTTTAGCCTGAACTCTTTAAGTGAAAATGTTTTTGCACTTGCAATTTTTATTGTTCCTTTAGCAGTTACTTAAGTATGCAGTTCCTTTAAGGTCTAGTGGTTTCTTAGCTTTGATTTACTGTACCCTGTTGTTTTAAAGTGTTTTATAATGGAAAGGCTATGTTATGGATTAGAAGAATGTGTTCTGCATTAGGCTCTAGTACTGTGCTCTGGCTACAGGTCTGTTTGGGCAGACCTGCCACAGTTGTGTTACTGCTGTAGAACTTTGTGTTGCATCAGTAGAATTCACTTAATTAGAAACTCCTAATTTCAGCAAAAAGAAAAGGAGTACTTGTGGCACCTTAGAGACTAACCAATTTATTTGAGCATGAGCTTTCGTGAGCTACAGCTCACTGCTGTAGCTCACGAAAGCTCATGCTCAAATAAATTGGTTAGTCTCTAAGGTGCCACAAGTACTCCTTTTCTTTTTGCGAATACAGACTAACACGGCTGTTCCTCTGAATCCTAATTTCAGGTATTTGTAACTCATTTAAAAAAATCATGGTGATCTGAAATTTGTTATGTGGTCTCAGCCTAGAAGCAAAATAGTCTCCCCACATTTTGAAATAAAAAAAGATTGGTCTGGTCTTTATTAATTTAGTGGCATATATACATAAATTAAAAGCGAGGGCACCCCAATTGCTTTTTATGCTTATATGTGTTGAAAACAGTGTGGAAACAACTAAATGCTCTAAGTCTAAAGAAATGCAAAGCCCAGAATTCTCACTGTCCCTGCTCCTATGTTTGAGAAGCAAATAGTGCTGTGAAGATGTTGGGCCAAATTCACCAATGTAAGTAAGAGCATAATTTTTCCTGACATACCTAGGGCAGACAATCCAGGAGGAAAGGAGCATACATGCTAATCCACAAAGTTCTCTCATGTATAATGGGTCTCCCAATTACTGGCAGTAGTTTTACTATAACTTTGAGTGTAATAAGTACTGAGTTATTTTGAATACTTTTCTCCAAATTAGGTCCAAACAAAACATATATGTGAAGTTCAAAAATGTTTAGTTTGCTTTTTACAGTGTTAGCAATTCAATTTTCCTTAGCTACATCCAGAATCAGTACCTGGGCTTTGAAAATACCTCATGAAAGTTTCTTCTCACAATGTTTCCAGGCAAAACAAAATAAGGAAGTACTGGAAATCTCATAATGGACCTCATTCTTGTAAAATTTCCAGGCACATTTCCAGACCAAAGGGGTTCAGATAAGCATCTGAACTTCGGATGCTTTTCCAAATATCTCAAATATTTGAAGTTAAAAAGTCGGTAGACATTGGTGATGCTATGGTCTATTTGGGAAAGCATAGTTGTGGAGGAAGGCCGTACCCTTCAGTTGCTGCTGTGCTAATTTACATGAGGAAGGTTATAGGAGTGGAACTGAAGCACATACACCACAATCCTCCAAAAATATGTTCTGCTTACCATTAGGAATAGTAAAAGATGTCAAAAGATGTCAATACGGATCTTGTGATTTTTAGTTCTCTCCACAATTGCTAAGCTTTCTTAAAAAAAAAAAGTCACCCCTTTCTGTTGCAAAAATATAGCTATCATAGACTATGTCTACACTAGATGTCTTTCTCAAAAATATATGGCCCCACAAGTAATAGGAACAGTGGAAGTGCTAGTGTAGTTGTAACCACTGTTGTCTTCTAAACATGTTTAATACATGTTGGGCAGAGGTTTCCAAATGAATTGTGATTATATAACAATAACTAAATGAAGAGTAGTGAATTAAGGTTGGTTTTTCTACCTAAGTCCCAGTTCCCGCAAAGACTTGTGCACGTGAATGGTCCCGCTGAAGCTAAATTAATCCTGTTAATACACTTTTTTCAGGCAGGGCCTTAATTTAGAATTTTTGGAATTTTTAAACTTTCTTTAATTTCTTAATCTTTTAATATTACTTCAGTGTAAGTCTGATATGTCCCAGTGAAGTTTTTTCCTATTTTTACTATCAGAAAGAAAGCACGCGCACACAACTCGTGGGGGGGGTAGTCTTAAAAATTGGCTAGTTTTCAGCATGTTTAGACTATAGTAGACTCCACCCTACTGACCCTCACTATAGAGACTAGCTGACCCTGGCAAAGCACAGGACTCTTGCTGTGAATGTAAATAAGAGAATGTATCAACCAGTTCCTGCTGTGAGATTATGAATAAGGCTACAATTTTTTTCACGGTTATTTTTAGTAAACATCATGACCAGGTCACGGGCAATAAACAAAAATTCATGGAGCCCATGACTTGTCCATTACTTTACTACAAATAAGTGGGGGCAGGGCTAGGTAGGGGGAAGGAGTGGAGTCCCATGTGGGGGGACTGACAGGCCAAGCCCCCCACCATATGGCCGCAGCAGAGGGCACAGCCATGGGGGGCGCACAGCCCCTGCTCCAGAGCTGGCCCAGCTGTGGGACAGAGGTGAGTGACTCCCACCAAGCCCCAGCATGGGGGCACATGACACTGGGAAGCCGCAAGGGGCACGTGCACCCCAAGCTGAAACCCCTGGCGAAAGCTGTGGGGCTAGGGTACACTGCTATGGCTGCAGCCCCGCCAGCCTGGGATGCCGTGGGACCAGGGCATGTGTCCCTTACCAAGTCCGGGATGCTGTGGGGCTGGGGTGGGTGCATGGATCCAGCTGCAGCTACCGATGGAAGCTGCAGGGCTGGGGCGCATGGCCTGGCTGCAGCTGCTGGCAGAAGCCCTGGGGCTGGGGTGCACGGCCCCAGCTGCAGCCCTGCCAAGCCTGGGACACCATGGGGCCGGGGCCTGCAGCCCGCGCCAAGTCCAGGACGCCGTGGGGATGGAGTGCACAGCCTGGCTGCAGCCGCTGGTGGAAGCCCTGGGGCAGGCCCAGCTGCAGTCCGCCCATGCCTGGGATATTGTGGGGCTGGGGCGCACAGCCCCGGGACGCCGTGGGGCTGGGGCGCATGGCCCATATCAAGCCTGTGCCAAGCCCGGGACGCCACGGGCTGTGGTGCACGGCCTGGCTGCCGCCCCCACAAGCCCGGGACACCACAGGCCTGTGGCCCATGGCCCCTGCCAAGCCCAGGACATATTGGGGCTGGGGAGTATGGCCTGGCTGCAGCCACTGGCGGAAGCTGTGGGGCTGGGGCGCATGGGTCTGGCTCCCACCAAGCCCCAGACATGTGGAAGTTGTGGGTCTCGGGCTCCGGCTACAGTCCCTGGCCCCTGCTGCAGCCCCCCGGAGGAAGCAGCAGGGCTGGGGCTTGCAGGGTCCTGGTTCCAGCCAGCCCCAGTTGCAGGGCAGGGGCACACAGTCCCCACTCTTTCTCCTGAAGCCCTAGAAGTCAGAGGTCCAGTAAAGTCATGGATCTTTGTGATCTCTGTGAGTAAATCGTAGCCTTAATTATGAGTAATGTAAAGAAGCCCTCCCAAATGCCACCATTGCATCTAGTTCTCTATGGTCTGCCTTTTGAAAGTCTCTATTTCACTGAAAAACGTCATTTTTCATTGTAGGTACAAATCAATGTTTAAAAACATACTACTACTCAATTGTTGGTTCCTGAAGACCAAGTAATTTTAGAAGTGTAGAAAGGAAAGAGAGAGAGAAATCCATCTTTGTAAACAGGTGGGGGAATTAACTCTAAAACAGTGAAATAATATATATGGATCATGTATGTATGGCCAAATTCTGCCCTGTGTGTTAACTAATGAGACTCCTTATTTTAGTGGATGATATCCATTTATGCCAATGTCTGAATTTGTGCTTGATTCTTCATCATAAGAAAGTTTATTATAGAGCATTAGGTGGAGAACTGCAAGAGTTGTGAGAAGTATTTGTGTTGCTTTTCAGGAAGATATATCTGATTTCAAAGATCCCGTAGTAGATCACTTCAGCTTAGCTGCTATGTTCAGGGTCTAACATCTTTGTCATCTTATATGAATGCTTGTTTCTTGTATCAGTGAGGCAGCACCAAACTGAGAGCATTAGATAACCTTTGTTACCTGAGAGAAAGAAAATGAATGCTCAGATAAACTGGAATCAATTAAAGTGAAATTTTCAACAACTTAAATGAAATACAAATAGTACACTGCAGCTCTAATTAGCATCACATCTAAGTGCTTCATGAGTGCCTCAGATGTTTGAGGGAGAGATGCTTTGAGTGCCTCAGCTATTTGATCAGAAATGCTTTATTGTCTGTGTAAATAAAGTTAATGCAACAAACTGCATGTTTTTAACTTGACTGTTAAAATCACGCAGAAGCTGAATTGTGCCCCTGCTGTGTCATTTACTGCTTCTTTGAAAATGACAAAAGTTAACAAAAATAGGAATGCTTTAATGCAAACTCATTTTAATTGGTGGATCATTTTGCTTCCTGTTTAGGAAATGATGCAACATCAATAGTCAACTGTCTTCATATACTTGGCCAGACTTTGGATGCAAGGTAATGCTGAATACATTTTCTAAAGTATACAAAAATCACTTAAAACTGAATAGCACATGTACAGTAGAATTGGGGGGCTGATTATCTGTACATGGCCACAGAATTTCTAAAATAAAAAAGGGTTGTCCTGCTGAAATAGTTCCTATACTGAATGTTGTTTCTTTATTGTTCTTGATAACCCAAGGGTTTGATAATAGAACATAGAGCTTTTCATCTCTAGCTCACTGTTCCAACTCCAGGCCAGTTCAGTAGTGACCAAAAACTGCTGGCTATTCATGGGTTTTGTCTCAAGTGAATAAGTGTCTCAAAAACTGTCATAACTATTGGAAATAAATTACTGTTTTGCTTACAACCTCATGATCAGAGAAGTCAAGAATTGAATTGGCATAGAGTGAGGCATGCTTTCACTCTTTGAGTATGTTTTTACTGCTGAGCTAACTCGGGTGATTATTTGAGATTTGCCCTTAACCTGTCCAAACACAAAAATTCTGACCTGAGTTTAGTGGTGTTTTCAGCCCAGGCTAGCTGACTCAGCTGGGTCTATAGGCTAAAGTGTGGCTGTTGCATTTGTTCAAGCCAGTAAAGTGCCCACTCAACCACTCAAGTGCTGATAGTCCTCGGATGCCCTCCTCACAGTTCCCCCTGACATGTCCAGAAGCACAGACAAGTTCTCCCACAATTCACTAGGTAGAAGAATCACAGAGCAGCTCACACCAGCGCTAAGAACCATGGCATGTGCCCCCCCAGAAGGCCTGGTGACACATGGGTGAGTGCAGTAGCAGTGAGGATATAGTGAGTTGAGTATGGCTTTGCAGTATGGCTGCCCACACTTAGGCTAGGTTAACTCAGGTGCCAGTCACCCAAGTTAACTCTTCAGTGAAGGCATACCCATAGAAAGGTCCCTCCAGGTCAGGATTGAGGCACTTTTATATAGCTGTATATGGAAGCTTGCATTGCTGCCACCCATGCAGTACATATTCTGTGAATAAAAGAGGTTACTTTAGTCTCCTGGGCTGTCAATCTAGCGTTTTTCACCTGGGCTGAGTTCTCTCACACAATCACAATGAAAACTCTGTGAAATTGTACTTTGCTATGAATAGAGGACCCCTACAGTCAACTCAGCTAGCCTTGTGTTTCTGTTTGAGGACAGTGACACTGAATTACAATATTGCATACAAGTGATTGTAGTTATATGACCAACATGTTCATGTTGCTCTTTTTCTACTACAGATTTTAACTGTGGCTTTCAGAAAACCCATTCTGATTTTTAAAATTGCTGAAGCAAAATCTGGCTATGGGTAGCATTTTGGCTTGCAGCTTCAAACAACCATAAGCTTTCTATTTTGATGATTTAGCAGGCTTCCTCATTCCTTGTTCTTATGAAGCATTTAAGCCCTTTCCTTAAGAAGCCGAGTCAATGTAAAATGAATTGAAATCCCTTCTGGTCTGCAGAGTGACACTCTGACACTGCTTTTCAATTGGAACATGCTTGCTTGAATTGCTTTCTTGTGGGAAAGAAGATTTTACCCAATAGGAAGGTTTTCCCAAGATCTTGTGTGTCTTTTTTTTATATCAGTCAGGAATAGACTTTGTTTTGTGCTTTCTCTAACAGAATATGATCTTTAATTCTTTTATATGTAATGCACAGGACTGTGATGAAGACTGGTCTGGAGTCTGTTAAAATGGCATTGAGAGCATTTTTGGATAATGCCGCAGAAGATCTGGAGAAGACAATGGAAAATCTTAAGCAAGGCCAGTTTACACACACAAGAAATCAGCCAAAAGGAGTGACACAAATCATTAACTACACCACAGTGGCTCTCCTTCCAGTGCTCTCTTCATTATTTGAACACATTGGACAGCATCAATTTGGAGAAGACATAATATGTATGTATTATTTAGAAATGCCAGGCAGCTAATGATCTTTCTTGTTTTGTACTGAGGGTTATTACAGATTGGCTTCTAATATATGGGGACAAATCCTGACAAAACTCTGCCAAAATGTTCACTGATTTAAATGAGAATTTGTCTTAAGCTTAGAATAAGGTATGCAGGTTTTATCTCATTGTGTACAAATTTGGGAAGGCGTGTGGATTTGTGGTTAGAAGATAGGATTAGAAATCTGGATTATATTTCTGGCTCTGCCATAGACTTGCTATGTGATCTGGCATAAATCACGGAGTCTCACTCTGCAGCAGTTTATCCATCTGTAAAATGGGAATAATAATATTTATCACACAGGCGTGTTGCAAACTTAATTTTTGTATAGAACTTTGAAGTTCTCTGATGATATCTGTTGTAATGCAACCTCATTCATTCAAACTTTTCAAGCAAGGTTATGTCACCTGACTTTAGCTGCAAACATGACCTTGTTTCAGTTGATGGGGTGTCAAATGGGTGCATGAGGCAGAACAGGAGGAACTGCTGAAGACATCTGCAAGAGTCTGATGTGGGGAGGTACTTCTGAAGCTCCATTTCTGTGGAGTGTAGGAGCACAGTTGATGTAGAACGTACATTTTGTAAATCACCTCATTTTGGAGAGACTAAAGCTGTTTTCTCACAGTGCCTCTTACAGGCCACAAAGCAGAGTTTCAATCTTGTACTGTTTAGAAGCCCCATGGGAATTCTAATAGCCAGCTCCCCTTCTATTGTGGGCAGCAATTCTTCTCTTTCAACAATTCTCCATTTCTGAGCTGGCCAGCTTCGAGGAAGGAGTCCACTCAGGGAGGATCTAGAAAAAGATCAGACTCAGTCATCTGCATTTTCTATGCCTGAGAAAATATAAAATAGCTCTGTGGAAAATGGTTTTCTGATATTTATAATTTGACTGGGTGATGCTATACTATAATTTTTATTTCTTTATAAATGATGGCTGAAGACATTTTAATTTCAGTGTCTAATTAACATAATCCAAAACTTAAAAGCTGTGGGACTATACCTATAGAATATCAGGTATACTCCTACTCCTTTTTGTTTTCTGATCCCGATAGAATTTCATCAGTAGCCTCTGATACTTTATTACTTACAAGATTTTAATCACCTATTCTATCTGATTGTTATTCAGTTATTATAAACCCACTAATAGTATGAATTGTTGGTTAATTTAAACTGTGCTTACCTATTTTATGTAATGCACACAAGCACCACTTCTCTTCACATTGTGTTTTAGGAATAACAGCCATTTCGCTTTGGAGGAGATAGCCCTCCTTGTCATCCCAGTTTGTGTATTTTTTCCCTCAGTTGGGCAGTTACTTCTTAATGCTGGGCAGTTTTATCTGTTGTTAATAAATTTTGAAAAAGTGTTTTATTCAGATATGACAGTTATTGGCTTTAGAAGAGACTCTCTGGAGTGGCTCGTAAGTGGGAGGAGTTAGCTAGAATGTCAGCCCAGCCAATCAAAAATATCTGCCTCTGCCTCATACTGTGTGAGGGACTGAAAAACCATCTCTACTGTTTTACTCTCCAATTTGATCAATTCAGTTTTTTACAGCTGCACATAGAAAAACAGTGTTGGTCTTTACACTAGAATGCATAATGTGATGATTGTTATTCCTGAAAACAAGCAATGAACAGAAAAGTTGTTTTGGGGATCAGGTGTTTTGGTTCCCTTGCCTGACTAATGAATACATCATTTAGATGCTATTTACCTGTAGCTTTGTCTAAAAATGAGATACTATCATTAATCATTAACTATAATTTACAAAATTAAAAATCTGTTCTGCAAGAGTATTTTTCTACTGTTGTATATTTTACAAAGCATAATGCATTCTTAAATTGGTTAGTTCTCTGATTATATTTTCCTTTTACTCATTTAACACTTTAGATAGTTGCTGTGAGAATTCCCTGCTTTTAAAGCACTGCTAGCAATTGGAAAAGATTCAGTACACTGTAGTGCATAGATTATTTAATAAATCAAGTCTCAGCTTCTATAACTATGCATTATCCTAACAAAGATGGTTTGCCATTTTTCACAGCAAAATAGAGAGCGTTTATGGTACATTAAATATGATATTGTTCTCAGTATATGCTTTCTATTGAATTAAGTGGCATTTTTTCATAAAAAGCTATGTCAGCATCTGGCCATAGGACTACTTTTTGGATTTACACAGTGATTTCTATAGTTGGTGTTTGGTAGCTTGAACTCATTAGTATGCAGGTTGTCAAGTTAAATATAATTAGATTGTCTCTATATTTTAAACCCACTGTGTAGACTAAAATGGAATGCATTAAAACCTTTTTTTTTTGTTTTTACTTCTTCCTTGTCTCTTTCCCTTAGTGGAAGATGTTCAGGTCTCTTGTTACAGAATATTGGCCAGCTTGTACTCTCTAGGAACCAGCAAGAGTATCTATGTGGAGCGGTAAGATGAAAAATCATGTACATAATTGGAATCTTCATATACACACTTAATCGTATAAGTAGTCACCACATGTGTTCTTTGTTAGAATGTTTTCTCAGGTGGAAGCTTTAATAAAGCACAAAAAGGAGTGTAGAGAGAAGTTGTGGGTGAGAGCAGGGCAAAATCAAGTACCCCTAATAGAAAAGAGAGTTGTGATAATAATAAGAATACTGGATTTAGTATAATAAAATTTAAATATTCGCATATAACTATGTAAAAAGATAGTCTTCAATTAAAACCGAAGAGATTCTTATTCTAAAATATATTTCATGCTTGCATTGGGACTGCAGGATCTGACTTTTTTTGTATAATACAAGCAGTATACAAGTATAATTACAAGGAGAACTTAGAGAATTTTATGAGTTCTAGAAGGGGAAAACGCAAATTTTCATTTCAATTATTGTTATAATTGTTCCTTGTAGATTGATTAACTTCACTGTACTTTATGGTTATCCCTCATTTATCTTTGTTCGTGACTGATGTTAAAAACTTACCTTTGTTCTACAGAAACGTGGTGTTTTTACATTTTATAAATAAAATGTTATCTATTCATTTTGCAATTTCAATCTAATGGGTAAGACACCCAGTCAGAATTACTGAATTTTGTTCATTCATGATTCTATTAACAAATCAAATGAAAAAATCATAATGCATCAAAAATGTATTTCTTGCATTTGTACTTCAAGTAGAGGTGGATCTGAGCTATACAATTCAAGACTCTTGAATCAGGTCTGGATGGACTCATTCTCAAAAAATCACTGTTGAAAACAATCAGTGATTCTACAGAATCAGTCAGATAGGCCATAAAGCAAGGCAGAGAGAGAACTTTATTCATAACCGTGTGTACTTTCATCAAAACACTAATTAAACTTTACAACACTCTGCAACATCCCAGCAGGTTTAATTATCTACAGAATGGGTGGGCAAACTTGTTGGGCTGAGGGCCACATCTGGGTGGGGAAATTGTATGCAGGGCCGGGGCAGGGGGTTGGGGTGCGGAAGGGAGTGCGGGGTGTGGGGGGAAGTGTGGTGTGCAGGAACGGGCTCAGGGTAAGGGATTGGGGCAGAGGAGGGGTGCAGGACGGGTGCAGGATTTTACAGGGGGCTCAGGGCAGGGAGTTGGGAGGCGGGATGCAGGAGGGGTTTGGGCTCTGGCCTGGCGCCGCTTACCTAAAGCAGCTCCGGGGTGGCAGCGGCATGCACCACGGCCAGGACAGGCTCCCTGCCTGCCTGCCTTGGCCCCACGCCACGCCCTCTGCCTGCCCCCGGACCGCAGGGACATGGTGCCGGCCGCTTCTGAGAGCGGCACGGGGCCTGCGGCACGACGGGGGGCAATCCTGCGGGCTGGATCCAAAGCCCTGAGGGGCCGGATCTGGCCCTCGGCCTTAGTTTGCACACCCTGATCTGCAGTCTGCCGGGGGGGAAACTGACAAATAGGAGAGATCAAGTGACTTGCTCAAGGTCACAGCAAAGCAGTAGCAGACCCAGAATAGCACTGAGGAGTGTAATGACCACTTCCTTGCCAGGGTGTCTGTTTCTCTACCCCTTTCCATTAAATCTCATAGCTTGTATACGGGTAGGGTTGCCAACTTTCAAATCGCACAAAACCAAACACCTGTACCTCGCCCCTGCCCTTCTCTGAGACCCCACCCATGCCTCCTCCTTCTCCAAGGCCCTGTCCCCACTCACTCCATCCCCCTTCCCTCCGTTGCTCGCTCTCCCACACCCTTACTCACTTTCACTGGACTAGGGCAAGGTGTGGGAGGGGGTGCGGGCTCCAGTTGGGGGGTGTGATCTGGGATGGGACCGGGGATGAGGGGTTTGAGGTCCAGGACAGGGCTCAGTACTGGGGCAGAGGTTTGCAATGTGAGAGGCAGTGCAGGGTGTGGGCTCTGGGAGGGATTTAGGGTGCAGGAGGGGGTTATGATATAGGGCAGGGGGTTGGGGTGTGGGAAGGGGTCCTGACCTGGGCATAGGAGCAGCAAGGCAGCTGTGCATGGTGCATGCTGCCCACACCCACAGGTGCCGCCCCTGCAGCTCCTATTGGCCACGGTTCTTCACCAATGGGATCTGAGGAGCCAGCACTCGGGGCGGTGGCAGTGCGTGGAGCTTCCTTGATTGCCCCTGCGCCTAGGGGCTGCAGGGACATGTTGGCCGCTTCCGGTAGCCACGCGGAGCCAGGGCAGGCAGGGAGCCTGCCTTAGTCCCGCTGCGCTGCCGACTGGAATTTTAACGGCCAAGTCAGCGGTGCTGACCAGAGCCTGCAGGGTCCCTTTTCGACTGGGTATTCCGTTCGAAAACCGGACTCCTGGCAACCAATTTGGGAGTCAGAATGTAAGGTTGCAACAAGTCAATTAAAGTCAAGTCAAATAAGTTGCATTGTTTCAGCTATCAAAATTCAGGGATTCTGTACTATGTAAACTTGTTTCTTTTACAAACCACTGCATCCTGGTAAAAGGGCTCTGATTTGCATGATGACCGACGTTATTTCTCAGTAGCCCTTAGTCTGGAAATCTCTGTACTCTATCAAAGAGCCAGTATTATCCAATAAGAGTGGAAGGATCTGTAACTCCAGAGAGACATACATAGTCACTGTACTCCAAATGGCTACTGCCTTCAGAACTGCTATCTATCTATAACACTGTGCTCATAACAAACATGGCCACCTCAGCCTTTGACCTCACCCCCACTTGTCACCCCATCTAATCACAAATAGAATTAAGTTTAAAAATAATTACTCTCCAATGCGAAATAAAAATATATGCAATTATATGTGAATGCTTTCTAAGTGGCTTATATTTTACATATTGGTCTTATATGAAATTATATATTGACTCATACAAGAGCTATTGTGAAAGTGAAGTGGCCTCTTTCATCTATTATAGTCCACAAGCATCAATGCATATAGAAAGCGAATAGCATGCTATCTTACAGATATATGTGAAACATGTTCTTTTCATGAGGACATAATGTGGGTCAGGGAGGAAATCAGGAGGGTAAATAGCTATGAGAGTGGAGTTAGATATGATGGAGTCAGAAGCTGAAGTTCCTGTGTTTATTGTGGGTATTATGGATTGGGAATTCAATGGCAGTCTGTTACAGCAGAAATTCCAGGTTTCTCCTTTCTCCTGAGTCAGAAAGGAAGGCAGGATTTTGACAAAACTGCAGAATTTCTGTGACTTCTAGGAATCTCCTCAAGTTCTCCAGTTTGATTCTTACTTCCTCGTGCATGTTTTAGTCCAAAAGAAATTAGAAATGGCTTGTTCATCTCTTGATACTAAGCCATCTTTATTTAAAGCTGCCCACAAGCTTTTCAGAATGGTACAACACCTGATAGTCATTTTGACAGTCACGTACTACAATAAAATTGACTTGCCTGTGGGATCTAATGTACCCTTTACATCAATGGTTCTCAAAGCCGGTCCGCCAGTTGTGCAGGGAAAGCCCCTGGCGGGCCGGGCTGGTTTGTTTACCTGCCACGTCCTCAGGTTCGGCCGATTGTGGCTCCCACTGGCCGCGGTTTGCAGCTCCAAGCCAATGGGGGCTGCGGGAAGCGGCGCTGGCCGAGGCATGTGCTGGCATGCCCTTCCCGCAGCCCCCATTGGCCTGGAGCAGTGAACCGCGGTCAGTGGGAGCCGCAATCAACCGAACGTGAGGACGCGGCAGGTAAACAAACCCGCCCGGCCCGCCAGGGGCTTTTCCTGAACAAGCGGCGGTCCGACTTTGAGAACCACTGATTTAGATATTATGATGGTAACATTTGGCCTCTTGATCCATCAGTTTATTCAGTAGCTTTCGGTCAATAGGAGACACTGTTTAGTCAGTATTATCTGAAATTGAGAGGAAATAATAGGATTACTATCGTTATTGTTATTATACTAGTGCTGTGTTTTCCTTGTATGCTCCTTGGTAGCTCTCGGCAAATATAAGTAGGCCCAGCTTTGACATTTTATATATAACATTTTATTTGTGTAATGGCAGAAAGTTGATGTTCTCTGATATCTGTTAAATGGATTTTTCTGTTACTGTGTTAGTAGTAATAACCATGTAGCAGATTCTCTCTTTGAGAAGACTATAGTTTATAATAAAAGTAAGGCTGATACTGAACTAGCTCTGAGTATATTCAGAAAAAAATATGTGTATATAAATAACAATGAGCATTTGTGAATTCACAGGCAGCGCTCAGCCTTAGGAGAATGTTTGGCTGCTTTTGCTGGTGCCTTCCCTGTGGCCTTTTTGGAAACTCATCTGAACAAACATAATACCTACTCTATCTACAACACCAAGTCTTCAAGAGACAGAGCAGGTATATCCAGACCCTCGCAGGCAGGCATTTTAACATCTGGATTTCACACACAATTGTGGTTGTCTTACTCACTGCATATTTACATGCATTTTCTATTACAACAATCCTCCCTTTCATTTACTGATCTGTTTATATTCATTTGCTAGATGGAAGGTTAAATCTTGCAAAACTCAATTTTTTCATTCCTTTTTGAGCTGCCCAGTGTTGCATATGGAGATATTATTATTATTTTGGAATTAACTTGCCAAACTAGTTCCTCCTCATTCTGATCACGTGGTTTTATATAAGGTTTATTTTATATGGCAAATCAGATAGAGATTTTAATACTGCCTACTATCATGTAATAAAATGGCATATCCTAATGAACAGTTTTATTTCCTCATCTCTCATTTTCAGCCTCAACTCTTACTTCCATCTCTGGGACTTACCCGTATCTTTAATTGGGACTAAATATTTTGATACACTGTATGCCCTTAACAAGTAAATACTTAGGATAGCATGACATAAATTGTTTGCTATGGTGTATTCTGTATTTTAAGTGTAGGAAATACCACAGCAAAGGCAAATATAAATAAGTAAACATTTGTTAATGTAGAGCCCCCTTCAGAGGGCTATTTAATAAAAACATAATTGGGGAATTAAAGCTGTGCCTTATGCTGTTCCTATTGCAAATATTTTAGAGGTTCTGTTGATTAACTTGTATTATTTCAAACTACCATGGGTGAAATTAAAAACTGGACAGCTACCTTTCATAGTAGTAGAATATAGTTTTATTTTGTTATTTCTCATTCTAAATATAATGCATACTACAAATATTGCAAAATGAAAAACACTATGCTATAGTATACAACAATTACTTAATGGCATCTTATGTATAACTTCAGCCATTCAATTTTAAAAGAAGAGCAACTGATTCATTCTTCTATAGAGCTACAGTAGTCTATCTGGCAAATGTCAGTGTCTACATTAATAGGTAATATGTTCTGGTAATTTTAGTACATCCACACTAGCCTATACTATCTCTTGTGGAAAGAAATATCCTTTTATTAATAGTAATAATAATAATTTGAATATACTTTTACTGAGGATTTCAGAATGCTTTCCAAACTTCAATTAAGCAAGCATTAATGCAGCTCTGTGAACAAATATGTATGATGTATTCAGTATTAAAATGAGACGTAGCCTGATTTTGAAAAACAGCCCAGAGTATAGGCAGATACAAACAGTTTGGCTCCAACTTTAGTACTGGCACTAATCTTACTACACAAGTTGACACTTCCATTGAAGCTAATGTATAACTCTCTACTCAGTTCCATAAAAGCACTCTTTCTTTCTATCGCAAGCTTTATCTGCCAGATGGACATGCTGTGAAAGAGAAAATAAAAGTAGAATGGAAAAACATTTGGATATAAATATTTTATATGTGTTTTCTCTTTGTGATACATTTTATTTTTATTATTTTCTAGCTCTCAATTTGCCAATCAGTGTAGAAGAGGTTTGTCCAAAAATTCCTTCCCTGGAGAAGTTAATGGAAGAAATTGTGGAATTGGCAGAGTCTGGTATCCGTTACACACAAATGCCACATATAATGGAAGTGATATTGCCTATGCTGTGTAGCTACATGTCACACTGGTGGGAACATGGACCAGAAAACAATCCCGACAAGGCTGAAATGTGCTGCACAGCCTTGACCTCAGAGCACATGAACACTCTGTTGGGTAACATACTGAAAATCATCTATAACAACCTGGGTATTGATGAGGGAGCCTGGATGAAGAGATTAGCAGGTAAGATTTAAAGATATGAATAATTTGGGTCTGATTCTTCTGTCTCTTACATCAGTTCACATTGATGTCAATAGATTTACTGTATATTTACCCCACTTGAAGTTGGAGGAGACTCAAGCCCATATTCTACAGCCTCTTTGAATAATATAAAGTCTAATTAAATGAGACAATAAAACAGCAGTTCTTTGAAAGAGAGATACTATATCTTAAAATAATTGGTATATATCATGTTGAACTTCATAATAAGCCATGGCCATCACTGCATTGTAATATGCCATTTACTGAACTAAAAGAATTATATTTGTGCCACCATTTATCTATACGTACAGAAGGCAGTTGCGTGCTATTACAAAATCTGGTTCTTGAAGTGTTGTCATAAGGCTTTATGACTAACACCCTATCACCATTCCACAGGGTCTGTTCTGTGCCCCAGTTTCTAATTAGTTCCTTGGGAGTATGACCCCTTTAGTGTGCTTGGGCCCCAAGGATGCACACAGTTCCACAGAGGCAGGCCTGTGGCCTCCAAGAATCCAGAACTGAGCCTTCAGGCACCCACAAACTGTATCTGTCTCTATGGTTCCCTGCAGCGAGTCCAGCCAAAGCCAGACTCCTGCAGAAGGCTTGTGCTGTGCCCCTTCAGGGTGCAGTGCTCTTAGTGATTATTTGCAGCGACTCCAGGCAGCCTTTTCCAAACAAAGCAACAATTTATTTATCACCTGATGTACAGAATCTGGAAGTCCTTAGGTTAGGGTAGAGAGGCAAAGGTTAAGAGTTCAGCATGGCCAATGCTAGGCCAGGACTCCCTTGAGCCATGCTGCCATCAAAGCTATCTAGGCTCTCTCTCAGTCTCAGTTCCTAGTCCCATGTGTGTGTGTTCCTGTGTCTCTCCAAAGGCCAGCTCTTAACCCAGCCACCTGACTCCTTTCCCCTTTGTTCTCCAGCTGGAGCCTTTGCTCTGCTTCTCCGTGCAGAGATATGGGAGGGAATCTCCTTCTTCTTGGCTGTTGGTTGCTAAATGTGAATGTCTTGGCCATTGGGGTTCCCATTCTCTTTCTGGATCCTCCATTGATATGGGTTGGTTTCAGCCAATCCTTTAATGACCCATTCATATCACCCTAACAGTTGCATGACTCAACACCTCATATCCTCTGTTTTGCCCCATGGACAGCTTTTTACACTCCATGCATAGCAATGCAAAGCACAGGGAAACTGAGGCACTCATAGGAATCATAAAAATATTATCAGAATTTCCACTTCAGCACACACTCCTTTGAGATGGGTGGCAGTTCAAAGCTCACTGTTAGGCTTTTTTTTTTTTTTTTAAAGAAAGATGATACTACATTGGGTCTTATTCAAAATCACAAAGGTGAAAGGCTGAAAACACAGTTGATTTGTCACCCTGTAAAACTTTCTCTCCTCCCTGGAAAAGTCACTTTTGCCCTCTGATTCAATTTCACATGAGTTTTCAATGCTTACTGTCTTCTTTCTGTTGTTTTTGATGCTTATGTTTTTGTTAACATCCAGGACTGGAACCCCATTTTGATAGTCACTGTAAAACAACATAGGCAAACATGTTCCCTGCCGCAAATGGCCTCACTGAAGTCCGTGCAGAGCTCCCATTGACTTTAAATGGGACCAGGATTTCACCCTAGTTCTTTAAAATAAAATACACGATAAAAAAGGTAAAGGTTTTAGATTACGCTTTGTGGTCAAGTGTTTATTATAGTATTGATTTGCCTTAAATAGTGTTTTCCCAGCCTATCATAAGCAAAGTGAAGCCCCAGCTCTTAAAGACCCACTTCCTGCCACTGATGGATAAGTTGAAGAAAAAAGCAGCAATGGTTGTATCAGATGAAGACCATCTAAGAGCAGAAGGCAGAGGTGACATGTCTGAGGCTGAACTGCTTATCCTAGATGAGTTCACCATTTTGGCACGGGACCTCTATGCCTTCTACCCTTTGTTGATTAGATTTGTGGACTATAACAGGTACGTGGAAAGAAACAACTTAGTGAATCCTTTCAAAACCTAGTTATGTTTCTTGATACTTCATTTTGTGTCTTAATTATGTTCTACACTGAATTTAAATAACTTTTCTTCACACAATCAATTTTAAAGTGAAATTAATGGTACCTTATTGCAGACTTCATTCAATTTTAGGGAAGGAATTTGGAGCAAAATCACAAAAAATAATTTCCGATTGCATTTTACCTGGTGACATAGACCCAGGCCAGTTGGGTACAGCAGAGTAGCAGAAGGCAGATATACTGGCCATTGGATTAACTGTTTTCTCTTCCCTGACGACCAGAGCAGGGGCTGCTCCAGGCTAATGAGAACACCTGACTCCAATTAACCTACAAAGAGTCAGGTCAGGCCATTAAGCTAATGTGACCACCTAACTCCAATTAAGGCCCCCCTGATACTACAAAAGGGCTCACTCCAGTCAGGCAGAGGAGAGCCAGGGAGCCAGATGAGAGGAAGTGTGGCTGAAGGGCTGGTTAATGAAGACACCCTCAAGTCATTGGTGAGGGAGCCCTAAGGTAAGGGTGAAGAAGGGAGAAGCAGGAGAGCTGTGGAGAAGTGGCCCAGGGAAATTTGGCAACTCTGGCAGTGAAAGGTTGGCTGCCAACAGCTGCTACCATTAGGGTCCCTGGACTGGAACCCGGAGTAGATGGCAGGCCCGGGTTCCCCGCAAACCACCATTACAGAACCACCTCCTGGGAGCGGGATACAGGCCCCTGTCAGGACAGGAGGCTAAACTGTTTTGGTATAAGGCCGTAGGAGCAACAGAGACTGTGGGAATTCTCTCACCAACCTACTTGCTGGCTTATGATGAAAAGGGCTCAGTAGACTATATCCCTGGCCCTAGAGAGAGAAGGGCTACATGGAGGGTTGCAGTGAGCCTCTGAAGCTAGCCTAAACCGCCTGGAAGCGCGGGACGCACGGGGACAAGGTCGGAGTTCTGCCACAACTGGTGTCAGTATTGGGATTGTGATTGTTCACAGCATGGCGGAACAAAGAGATTTTTTAAAAAAAAGTGTACTAGGGTTTTTGGTTTGGGGTTTTTGTTTGTATCACAATGGAGGAGGTGGTGAGAGCGCTGGTGCAAGCCACGGCGGCCCAGCAGGAGGCAACCTGGGCTCAGGCAATGGCACAACAGGAGTCCATGAGGCTACAGCAGGAAACCAACCAATTATTAATGAGCCAGGCAACCCAATATCGAGCCCTCCTGCGCAAGATAATGGACCAGCTCAAGATCCTCACCACCTAGGCCTGGGGGTCCAATGGGACCCAAACCCTGAGGGCAACCGGTTGTTTGCCAAAGATGACAGCAGAGGATGATGTAGAGGCATATCTCCTCTCATTTGAAAGGTCTGCTCAGCATGAGGCCTGGCCCCAGGAGCCGTGGGCCAGCATTTTCACCCCTTTTTTGTGCAGAGAGGCCCAGAAGGCCTACTTTGATCTGCCCACCGAGGACACCGCTGACTATTCCCGGCTGAGGGCAGAGATCCTAGCACGATCGGGGTGACGGCAGCGGTATGGGCCCAGAGGTTCCAGGAGTGGAAATACAGGGAGAATAAACCTCCGAGGTCCCAACTATTCAACCTCATACACTTCGCTCGGAAGTGGCTATGGCCCAAGGCATGCAGCCCAGAGGAGATTTTGGAGACTTTGGTAATGGACCATTACATGCAGGGACTGCCGCCAGATCTCCGCAAATGGGTATGCCAGAATGATCCATCCACCTACGACGAAATGATCACATTGGTGGAAAGACGGATGACAGACAGGGAGTTGACCCAACTCCCCAAGGAAGGCCCTCACGAAGCAAACACTTGACCCTGACCCTGGCGGGTCGGGTAGCCAAATCCCCAGGGAGTCCTAGGTGGAAAAAGAGGGGGACCAAAAACAAGCCGGGAACCCAGAAGGAAGGAAAAGCCCTGAGTGGGGGGGACCCTGGGAATAAACCCCTAACTCACGTGATAGGGGAGTGACTAGAAGTAATTATAAGTGTTACAGGTGCTGGGAGTTGGGGCACATAGCGGCCCAGTGCCCCAATGTCTAGAGTCCATGCAGTGTAACCTGGGGGATGGGTTAGACCCATGCAGCCTACTCAATATTGTAGGGGTTGCAGTCACCCCACATAAATATACAAGGCAGGTAAAGTTGAATGGGGTAGAAACTATGGCACTCGTAGACTCGGGGAGTGCTATCACCCTAATTTCTGGTAAATTAGTGAAGCGCAGCCAGTTAATGTAGGGTAAGCATACGGGGGTAACCCATGTCCATGGGACTGTTAGTTGCTACCCCATCATACCAGTGAAAATTGAAATTCAGGGAAATGTCACTGGGGTAAAAGCAGGGGTAGTCCCAAACCTCCCATACCCCGTGCTCATAGGTAGAGATTTCCCCAGGTTTGGAAACTTGCTCCCACAGGAGGAATTGGAGGGAGAGGAGCTCCCCGAACTTCAGGAGGCTTCTGCGGCAGAATGTCACCTCCCATTTTTTGTGGAAATTTCCCAGGAGCTATTCCCTGTCCCGTGGAAAGGCAGGAAGACCAAGAGAGAAAGAAGGGCGGCCAAGGCTTTGGGTACCCAAATTCTGATACAAAGACAGAGGGCCGCCTCTGTAGGCAGACTTACACGGGCAACCGAAGGGGACGGCCTCGAGATGGAGGAGGGGTCAGAGACCACTTCCAACCCCAACCTCATGGAGCCAGCCGAGAGGGCAGAGACACATCCCTCAGAGTGCGTGCTGATAAGCCCTGGGAGAGAGACTTTTGGACGGGACCAGGTGGAAGACCCAAGGTACGAGAACGCCAGGAAGGAGGTGGCTGAGATAGATGGGGTACCTATAGAGGGAGAGGCCCGGGGGCCAGGGCCTTATTTTGTGATCAAGAGGAATCTCCTATACCGGGTCGTGGAAATGCAGGAGCAAGAGGTACACCAGCTCCTTGTACCCCAGAAACACCAGAAGGCAATATTAAGCGTCGCTCACAGTCACTTTTTGGAGGGTACCTGGGAGTGGAGAAAACCCAGGGGAGAATCTTACAGAAGTTCTTCTGGCCAGGGGTACATGAAGCATCTGGCGGTACTGTGCCTCTTGTCCCGAATGTCAACTGCACAGCCCTAGTCCACATCTAAGAGCTCCTCTGGTACCCCTGCCGATCATCGAAGTTCCGTTCGAGCGGATCACCATGGATCTTGTGGGGCCGCTAGAGAAAACGAACAGAAGTCACCAGTATGTGCTTGTCATCCTAGACTATGCAACCAGCTACCCAGAAGCTGTCCCCTTATGAAACACAGCTTCCAAGAGCATTGACAAAGAATTAGTGGCAGTCTTTGCCCGGGTAGGGCTACCAAAAGAAATCCTCACAGACCAGGGAACACCATTCATGTCCAAGTTGATGAAGGACCTCTGTTCCCTGCTACATGTCCAGACCCTGCAGACCTCAGTTTACCATCCACAAACCGATGGTCTGGTGGAAAGATTTAACCGGACCCTCAAGGCCATGATAAGAAAGGTGGTAAGCAAGGATGGGAAAGATTGGGACAACCTACTACTGTACCTCATGTTCGCCATCCATGAGGTCCCCCAAGCTTCCACTGGATTCCATAATGCAACCTCCGAGGCATCCTGGACATAGCCAAGGAAATTTGGGAGAAGGAACCAGGTGAGGGGAAGAACGTAATAGATCATGTGCTACGGATGAGGGACCGGATAGCCCGGGTCACTCCCATAGTGAGGGAGCACCTAGAGAAGGACCAAAAGGCCCAGAGAACCTACTACAACCGTCAAGCCAAGGTTCATCAGTTTCAACCTGGTGGCTGAGTAATGGTACTGGTACCCATGGCCGAAAATAAGCTGTTGGCTGAGTGGCAAGGGCCCTATGAAATAGTTGAACCCGGAGGGGAAGTAAATTACAAGGTGTGACAACCGGGACGTTGAAAACTAGAGCAGATATACCACGTCAGCCTTCTGAAACCCTGGCATGCGCGAGAGGCATGCACAGTAGTTTGAGAAGAGCTGGACCCAAAAATCCTGAACAGGTGAGGGTGTCTTCTGATCTAACGACAGCCCAGAAGAAAGAGATAACTGAGATGATCACCCAATATCAAAATGTATTCTCAGCAAAGCCGGGTCGCACAACCGGGACATATCACCACATCATTACAAACCCTGGGGCTGGAGTAACTATGAGGCCCTACCAGGTGCCAGCAGCCAAAAGGGAGGAAATAAAAGTGGAAGTCAGGAAAATGCTGGAGATGGGGATCATAGAAGAATCCCACAGTCAGTGGTCCGGCCCAATAGTGTTGGTGCCCAAACCTGATGGCACCACGAGGTTCTGCAACGACTTCCGTCGACTAAACGAGATATCCCAGTTTGATGCCTACCTTATACCCCACATACATGAACTAGCGGACCATCTGGGGAATGCCCAGTACTTGGCAACCCTAGACTTGACTAAGAGGTACTGGCAGATTCCCCTAGCCGAAGATGCAAAGGAAAAGAGGGCGTTTTCTACACCAGAGGGTCTCTTCCAATATACGGTCCTCTCTTTTGGACTACATGGGGCCCCAGCTACCTTTCAGCGCCTCATGGACAAGTTATTATGCCCCCATGCCAGTTATGCTGCATCCTACTTGGATGATGTGATTCATACCCCAGACTGGGAGACCCACTTGGAAAAAGTGGGGGCAGTCCTTGATACCTTCAGGCAAGCTGGCCTTACGGTGAACCGTGTTAAGTGCACCGTAGGGTTCACGGAGGCCAAATACCTTGGCTACGTGGTAGGAAAAGGTCTGGTAAAACCCCAACTGAATAAGTTAGAGGCCATCCAAAATTGACCACGGCTAAGTCATCAGAAGCAGGTCCGAGCATTCCTAGGGGTGGTGGGGATTTACCGGTATTTCATCCACCATTTTGCCACAAGGGCAAGTCCCCTAACGGACTTAGTGAAGGCCCGTGGTCCTGATCCAGTCAGATGGTCCGATGCAGCGGAGAAGGCATCCGCGGACCTACAGACTGCCCTCTGCAGTAACCCGGTATTGATAGCTCCAGATTTCACCAAGGAATTCATCCTACAGACAGTTGCATCCGAGGTGGGGTTAGGGGCCGTCCTGTCGCAGATGGTTGGGGAAGAGGAACACCCAATTCTCTACCTCAGTAGGAAACTCCTTCCGAGGGAACAAACATACGCAGTGGTAGAGAGAGAGTGCCTTGCCGTAAAATGGGCCATGGAAACGTTGCGTTATTACCTGCTGGGGCGCTGATTTATCCTTCTGACCAACCATGCCCCTCTTCAATGGATGCAATGGAACAAGGAAAGGAACACAAGGGTAACCAACCTTTCCAGTTACGCATACAGCACAGAGCAGGGAGTCGCCATGGCAACGCCAATGGCTTATCATGCATACGCTATCTGGCATCCCACGCTGCCCAACCCCTTGGTGTTGAGCGGGGGGAGGGATATGTGATAGACCCAGGGCAGTTGGGTACAGCAGAGTAGCAGAAGGCAGATATACTAGCCATTGGATTAATGGTTTTCTGTTCCCTGAGTGACCAGAGCAGGGGCTGCTCCAGGCTAATGAGAACACCTGACTCCGATTAACCTACAAAGAGTCAGGTCAGGCCATTAAGCTAATGTGACCACCTAACTCTAATTAAGGCCCCTCTAATACTATAAAAGGGCTCACTCCAGTCAGGCAGAGGAGAGCCAGGGAGCCAGATGAGAGGAAGTGAGGCTGAAGGGCTGGTTAATGAAGACACCCTCAAGTCATAGGTAAGGGTGAAGAAGGGAGAAACAGGAGAGCGGTGGGGAAGTGGCCCAGGGAAATGTAGCAACTCTGGCAGTGAAAGGTTGGCTGCCAACAGCTGCTACCATTAGGGTCCCTGGGCTGGAACCCGGAGTAGATGGCAGGCCCGGGTTCCCCCCAACCCACCACTACAGAACTACCTCCTGGGAGGGGGATACAGGCCCCTGTCAGGACAGGAGGCTAAACTGTTTTGGTATAAGGCCGTAGGAGCAACAGAGACTGTGGGAATTCTCTCACCAACCTACTTGCTGGCTTATGATGAAAAGGGCTCAGTAGACTGTATCCCTGGCCCTAGAGAGAGAAGGGCTACATGGGGGGTTGCAGTGAGCTTCTGAAGCTAGCCTAAACCGCCTGGAAGTGTGGGACCCACGGGGACAAGGTCGGAGCCTGCCACATTGATATTATGGAAAAACTGTATTCAGATGTTGAAGTAGGGCATCAAAAGACCACTTTAGCATAAATTAAAACACATGCACATAACGTTCTGCTTTTTTCCTGGTGATGTCATATAAAAATTGATTTCAAAGCGAAATGTTAAAATTGCGTTATCCAAGCCAGAAAGGATCATCGCCAAGTTTTTTTTTTTCCTTCTTGTTATCTAATTTTAGGGCAAAATGGCTGAAAGAACCCAACTCAGAAGCAGAGGAATTGTTCCGCATGGTGGCTGAAGTATTCATTTATTGGTCAAAATCCCACGTAAGTAAATTTTTACAATTTCTATTTTACTGTGGTTTTCTTGGCAGATAGGTCAGTTATTTAACTAACAGCAATGTCCATCCCTTGAGAAGGAGGTGCAAGTTGTGTGTTACCCCCTGCCCACGTCAATTTCCTTTTTCTTTTTTTTCTTTAACGGTATTCCAATTGCTTTAACCATATGACACAAAAAGGATAGATATATAGTGCAATGCAATATAGCTCTACTGATGCAAATCAGTTTATTGGATCATACAGCTGGGTGCGTCGTTCAAGCAAAACTGGTTGTGGGGGAAGTATCATGGGATAATTTGTAACAATCCCACAGTGTGTGGGGAAGCTGGTTCTGATTGCCTGACTTGAGGTTTCCTTTTGCAACGTTCCAAGATAGACTCAAACGCAATTTATCCTCCTTGCTTATAAATCACCATTGACACATTTTTTTCTGGCCGTGAGGATGGATCATACTTTCTCTGTTGAGGCTGGCATTATTGTCTCCCCATTAATCAGATAGCAGTGCTTCATCATGAGGAGTTTGCCATCCTCTTTTTCTTGTAAGATGCTAAACGTGTCATCCCTTGTAGCCAGTCTGTTCCACTTGAGAGCTGCAAGGGCTATGAGTAGTCCTAATTTGGGTCTCCGGTTTGCCACCAGTAATAATGATCTTTGAATGGTTGCATGGGAAAACGTACTCAATGATGGAGAGGAGTCTGTGGACAAGGAGTCTGTTAATTTCCTGCCACTCCTGAAGTTCTGTGAAGTTGAAGAAATACAGTCGTGTCTTGTAGTTCTGACAATATGTATTTCTTCACGAGAACTCATATTTCTTTCATAAGGCTCCTGTACAGATGGTCATTACTGAGTTCTTGCCACCAGCCTTATATTTTTATTCCCCCCCGAACTCCCTTCTTTGTCTGAATATGTAGCTAATCAATCAGTTTAAATTGTTGTAACTCACCACAAAATGATAAAATCTACCCACCACAGCTGGATATCCAGCCTCCTTCAATCTATAGGCATGGTTATGATACAATGTATGTAACCGAAGAATCCTCGATGAGACTGGCACACATGAAATCCAGAAGTTCTTTGAAGAGAGTGTGTAACTTTACTTCCACTGACTTAACACTGCATTGCAGATTTCTGTTTCTTTAACAGAGTTTAAAGGAAAGCATTTCACTTATTTTGCCATTTCAGTAACTGCTCTGTATGAGAAGGTGTCTGACTGAAGTCAATGGGAGTTCTGTGCACAGAGCAGACAGACAAATAGCTCAGCATGTTTTAAATCAGGGTTCTGTTTTAAAAGTCACTGTAAAAGACGTCCTGGCATTCCATGTTTGCCTCTTGGGGTATGTCTGCACCGCAGCTAGACACTCGCAGCTGGCCTGTGTCAGCTGAGTTGGGCTTGCAGGGCTCAGGCTGCAGGGCTGTTTAATTGCTGTGTAGGTGTTTGGGCTCAGCTGGAGCTTGGGCTCTAGGGCCCTGTAAGGTGGGAGGATTCCAGAGCTCAGGCTGCAGCTTGAGCTGGAACGTCTACACTGCAATTAAACAGCCCTGCAGCCCAAGCCATGTAAGCCCGAGCCAGCTGGCACAGACCAGCCATGGGTGCCTAATTGCAGTATAAACATATCTTTGGTGACTTCTAGCTGAAGTTTGCTAAATTGCAAGTTAGGAGATTTCCTCTTAATGCCATTCCTGCAAAACTTGTCCTGGGATCTCAACCTGGGTTTTTTCTGGCTTATACACCAGCAACAAAGATTGTGCATTAAGAATTAAGCTATGGACTTCACTGATGATACGTGCTTTAGAATAGAATGCAGCTCACGATGTGTGCAAGAGTAAAAAGCAGTAAAACTACTAACAGAAAACTGCCGATAAGATGAGACTGAACACTCACAGGGAATAGGTGAGCGAAGAAGTGTTATCTTTACATAAATTGCTTTTACCACTATAACCACAGACCAGCAAGTCTGAGTGATAGTATTGTAGCATTTCTGTACTTAGAAGTATTTTACCTAACATTATCTATGAAGCCCACCAGGCACAACCTAACTACCTGTTCAACAATTAGGTGCTGATTCAGCAAAACATATAAGTATGTTAATAACTTTAAGCATGCCAGTTAAAAGGGATTGCTCACATGCTTAAATTTACACACATATTTAAGTGCTTTGCTGGATCAGGATTTTAGATAGTGGTACTCGAGTGATGCTCACTGTAGAAAAACCTAAGATAGACAGAATTACCAATATGATAATATCTAGGCAATTATTTTTTATCTAATTGTGATGCAGTTTGCATTTTATGCCATTTCACTATGCAAATGTGAGGAAACAATCATTTATCTAATATAATTAATATTTGAAATGGAAACTGGATAAGTTTACGCTTTATTATAATCTGTCAGAGTTTTCAAATGCAAAGACTTTTGATTGAATTTAGAAAGTTTGTTTGCCTGTAGGTAAGCAGTGGAGTTCAGCAAAGTCATTGTCATCAGTAATTGATTTTATGCCTTGGAGGTTTGCGTCAAAGTTTAGCTAGGTTAGCTTATTATTTTGTTATGTGGAAAATCATTTAAGGTGTGCAAACTGAACAGCATATTTTGTAAAATCTTTTTATTGTCAATGACAATATTTGATGTAAAACAAACGAAAATAGCTAAGGTAAAATATATAGAAGTTTTGTTGTAGTATTTTATAGTGCTTAATCAAGTGTACGTGATTTTTTTTCAATATGAACACTTTCTAATATTTTAATTCAAGACGTGTAATTACTAGAATTGGTTGGGAAATTTTCAATTTTCAAATTTTCAATTTTCAAAACATTTTTTGTTGGAAAATGCCAATTTGTAAAAACTGAAACTTTTCACAAAGATGCGAGTTCTGAATCAAGAAGAAGGGACTTGAACCTGGGTGTCTCATATTTCGGGGGATCAGTCTAATGAGACAATTCAATTAACAGTAGGATACCAAGGGAGGAAAAATCACTTTTGTGGTGGTAATGAGAGTGGCCTATTTCAAACAGTTGACAAGAAGGTGTGAGTAACAGTAGTGGGAAATTAGTATGGGGGAAATTAGGTTTAGGTTTTGTAATGATCCAATGACCAGCACTCCCAGCTATCTTTGAGACACCACTGACTTCCTGAGGAAACTACAATCCTTTGGTGATCTTCCAGAAAATACCATCCTAGCCACTATGGATGTAGAAGCTCTCTACACAAACATCCCATACAAAGATGGACTACAAGCTGTCAGGAATAGCATTACCAATACTATCATGGCAAACCTGGTGGCTGAACTTTGTGACTTTGTCCCCACCCACAACTATTTCAGATTTGGGGACAATTTATACCTTCAAGTTAGCGGGACTTCTATGGGTACCCGCATGGCCCCACAGTATACCTACATTTTTATGGCTGACTTAGGAGACGAGAGCTGAGGAAGCGTTGTTCTAACACCCCTACTCTACTTGTGCTACACTGATGACATCTTCATCATCTGGACCCATGGGAAGGAGGCCCTTGAGGAATTCCACCAGGATGTCAACAATTTCCACCGCACCATCAACCTCAGCCTGGACCAGTCCACACAAGAGATCCACTTCCTAGACACTACAGTGCAAATAAACTATGGTCACATAAACACCACCCTATACCGGAAACCTACTGACCGCTATACTTACCTACATGCCTCCCGCTTTCATCCAGACCACACCACACGATCCATTGTCTACAGCCAAGCTCTAAGATACAACCGCATTTGCTCCAATCCCTCCAACAGAGACAAACACCTACAGGATCTCTATCAAGCATTCTTAAAACTATAGTACCCACCTGCTGAAGTGAAGAAACAGATTGACAGAGCCCAGAAGTCACCTACTACAAGACAGGCACAACAAAGAAAGTAACAGAACGCCACTAGCCGTTACCTGCAGCCCCCAACTAAAACCTCTCCAGCGCATCATGAAGGATGTACAACTTATCCTGAAGGACGATCCCTCACTCTCACAGACCTTGGGAGACAGGCCAGTACTCGCTTACAGATAGCCCCCCAACCTGAAGCAAATGCTCACCAGCAACCACACAACAAAAACACCAGCCCAGGAACCAAGCCCTGCAACAAACCCCAGTGCCAACTCTGTCCACATATCTATTCAAGGGACACCTTCATAGGACCTAACCACATCAGCCACACCATCAGGGGCTCGTTCCCCTGCACATCTATCAATGTGATATATGCCATCATGTGCCAGCAATGCCCCTCTGCCATGTACATTGGCCAAACCGAACAGTCTCTACACAAAAGAATAAATAGACACAAATCTGACATCAGGAATTGTAACATTCAAAAAACCAATAGGAGAACACTTCAATCTCCCTGGTCACTCATAACAGACCTAAAAGTGCAGAACTGGAATTAATTTGCAAACTGGACACCATCAAATTAGGCCTGAATAAAGACTGGGAGTGGTTGGGTCATTACAAAAGCTAAACCTAATTTCCCGCATACTAATTTCCCCCTACTGTTACTCACGCCTTCTTGTCAACTGTTTGAAATGGGCCACTCTCATTATCACTACAAAAGTGATTTTTCCTCCCTTGTTATCTTACTGTTAATTGAATTGTCCCGTTAGACTGACCTCCCACTTGGTAAGGCAACTCCCATCCTTTCATGTGCTGTGTATTTATACCTGCTACTGTATTTTCCACTCCATGCATCTGATGAAGTGGGTTCTAGCCCATGAAAGCTTATGCCCAAATAAATTTGTTAGTCTCTAAGGTGCCACAAGGACTCCTCAATCTTTTTGCTGTTACAGACTAACACAGCTACCACTCTGAAACCTGTCATATTTCAGGGTTGTGCCATAATCACTCGGCTGTCTTTCTTGCTCTGTTTTTCCAAAGGGTCTTGGTGTTGTCCTGTTGTAGAACAAAAGCAAATGTTGAAACCTGAAACATTTTCACAAAATACTCCTGTTTTCCAGCCAGCCCTAGTAATGACATTGTATTTTTAGATCTTTCTACAATATTCCTATCTATATATTTCAAATATGTCATATAATTAGAGCTCAGAGAATAAAGAGAACAATTTTGTGAATACTCTCTCAAACTTTAAAATGAATTTGCTTTGGCGGTGCTTGCATCCATTTTTGTGCTCACTTCCTTTGAATGTTTGAGAGATCAATTTTCACACTCATGAATGCTCACAGAGTGAATTTGGAAGCTTACATACTCTAGCATTCACACTAATAGTGGTCTATACTATATGAGATTGCCTCCCTGTCGTACAAAATAGTATCCAGTGTTCCAAATATCCCTCACTAGAGCCATAGCACAGAGTTAATTAAATAAGTTAGATAAAGATCTGATGGCAACCTTCATAGATTGGACCATGTGTACACATGCATTTATTTAGTGACATTGAATTATAGTTCAGTAAACACAATGACTGTGTGTGAATGTCACAAGACAAAATTTAATTTAATTTCTGCACTCGGGTTATATATTTTACAGTAATCGGACTTTTTTAAGCAGGATGTCTGGAGCCAAACTTACTGTTGGCAAGAGTAGAAAGTGCTTAGTTATCTAAAACTCCTTAATCCTGTTTATTTGCTGCCTCTCTATCAACTGATACCTCTACAGGAGATTAAAAGACAACGTGGCTTCCTTAAACCTTCTTCCAAATTATAAAAATTACACTAGTTCAGCCAGAGGACAGAAGTAAAACCATGTGGTTTATATCAGGGGTTCTCAACCTTTTTCTCTCTGTGGCTCCCCGCAACACGCGATGAAAACTCCAGGGCCCAGTGGGAGTGGGAGGGCCTTGGGGCAGGGGCCTTGGGCATAGGCGTAGTTTGACTTCTGTTTTGAGAGGACAGGGGCCAGCAAGGCTCAAGTCCCTTCTGCATGGCTGGGTTCAGGGAGGGAGCGCCACCTCCACCCCCGACTCACGTCATCAGGCCACCCAGCCTGTCTGGGTTGCGGGGAGACACAACCAAAAATGATCACTCAAAGGTGGGAGGGCTCAGCTCAGAAAGTCTGAAAACAGCTTAGGGTGCAGGGATGGGGTAGCTAGGAGCTGTGTGCAGGCACGGGGGTAGCACGCAGTGCAGAGAGTGGGTACCTAGGAGTTGTGTGCACATGGGGTATCTGTGGGCTAAGTTTCCTGTAAGCTGTGCGGCCGCACAGCAGCCTATTTAGCTCTGTGCAGGCACGCAGGGAACCCACCCGGGAACCTGGTGGGGTAGGGGCGCCCTTCCCCTGGCCCCAACTCACCCTGTGGCCCGGAGCAGCCCGGACCCAGCCGTGGCCAGGTCAGCATGGCCCAGGCCGGCCCCAGGCGCAGCTGGAGCAGCCCGGTCCCAGGCACGGCCCAGGTGGCCCTCCCCCAGCCCAGAGCTGGTGGGGCCAGGGGAGGGGCGCCTATCCTGCAGCCCCAGCCCCAGAGCTCCCACAACGGGGACAGGCACCTCTACCCCAGCACCTCTCCCCCACAGCCCAGATGATGCTGTGGGGAGAGAGCACTGGGGGAAGTCCTCTCTCCCCGCAATAGCCCTGGAGCACCCTCCTGTACCCCAAATCCCTCATTCCCAGCCCCACACCAGAGTCTGCACCCCCAGCTGGAGCCCTCACCCCCTGCACCCAACCCTCTGCCCCAGCCCTGAGCCCCTCATCCCTGGCCCCCCGCAGGGCCTGCACCCCCAGCCAGAGCCCTCACACCCCTGCACCCCAACTCTCTGCCCCAGCCCTGAGCCTCCTCCCACAAGAACCCCTAGGCCCCACCCCCACCACATGAATTTTGTTATGTGTACCAATATGAAGGTGATGTGTCACACATCACCTTCATTTTGGTGCACATAACAAAATTCATTCTGCACATGAGTGGGAACAATTAGAGGGAACACTGGCTGTGGGTGCAGGGAGGGGGTAGGTAGGTGCTGTGTGCGGGCAGGGGGGTAGTTCAGGGGGCAGGGAGTAGAGTAGCTAGGGGCTGTGTGCAAGGAGGGCTCCCTTGCGGTCCTTGTTCCCAGAAGGGTCTGCCAGCCTCGGAGCCGGGTCTCCCCATCTGGGTGGCTCTTACCGCCTGCCTCTGCAGGAGCAAAGGGGGCTGAGAGCTGAGGAGCAGCTTCAACCCGGGGCACCAGGAGGAGAGAAGGGAATGCTGCCACTCCCTGCTCCATAGCACCAACCAGAGCAGCAACTGTCCTGCACTGCCCAGCTCCGGCTTCCCGCCTCCAAGCTGGCCAGGGAGCAAGGAGACGAGATGGTGCAGGGGAGGTGTGGAGCTGCCACCGGGACTGCCTTGCTCTTGCACTGCAGTTGGGGGGAGAGGGGCACAATGCCCTCCATGTCTCCAACTCTGCCCATGGGCTCAGGGCTTCTTCCCCACAGGGAGCACCAGGGCTCGGGGATTCAGCCCCGCGCCTCCCGGCTTCAGCCCTGCAGGGGCGCCGGGTATCAGGCTCTGGGTTTCAGCTGCGGGGCCCTGCGGCCCCCTTGAAAGGACTCCTGGACCCCGGTTGAGAACCGCTGGTTTATGTGATTCATCACAACTAACAGCTGGAATTTCAAATATCCACAGTGGGCTGTTGTTCACAATGAAAAGTCCATTTAAAAAAACAACAACTGATAAACATAATTTGTCAGTTCAAGAAGCTGGTAATGACAGTCTTATTGCATATGTTAAAAGGGTAAGTTTAAGTTCAATGAGTCAGGTTATTGGAAATATTGTTTGCTCAGATGTAAATGTTAATATCGCGTTGGAAATTTATATTCCCTTAGGTGTTAGAGAAAAAAATATTGAAATTAAAGCTCACTTCAGATATAAAAATGCTCACTTCATTTATACAAATTAATTATGTTGCACAATCATATTCTTTTATACAACAATAGTTTCTGAAGAGCTTTCTAAGCACTGTGGCTAAAATTTCAATCATATCTTTTGATATCATTCGCTCCTGGTAATTCTTTGCCTTCCTTCTCTTTTCCCTAATAGATTTTCAAAGCTGCACCAGACCCTTCCGAGAATAAAAATACATCTCTTTCATTTAAATCAGGGGATATCTGTTTGTAGATCCACTTTATGTTCAGAGTGGATAAAAATCTGAGATTTGTCCAATATAAATAATGCCAGAATTTAGCATATTCTTGAGAATCCGTTAAAAACATAGAGACTGTAACTTTGTGGAATCTACAGAGTTCCAGTGAACCCATATTTATTATTCAAGACTTGTATGGACAGATTTCTCACATGTAATAAGTGCTTTTAACTGAGATCTCCTGTGTAACATTTCAGAATTTCAAAAGGGAAGAGCAGAATTTTGTGGTACAGAATGAAATCAACAACATGTCTTTCCTTATTACTGACACCAAATCCAAGATGTCTAAGGTACAATGAGCTGCAAAGTTTAAATATTGTTATCCCGTCTTGCTTTCTCTCCTCTTAGTGTTTTAGCTTTGTAGGTTGTAACGGCAAGTCTCCGCATTTATAATCCCTTAAATTCAATGTTCCTGTGAAATTTCAGGGTCCTGCCATTTATGATGGTCCCTCCGGTAGTGCTGAAAATTCACTGTGCTGCTGCTACTTGCTTTGGCTAGGGTGGATAGAAATATCAGGTGTGCTTAAAGGCCATGCGATTATTATATCACTGGCTGCACATATCACAGTAGTTGATCTATCTTCTTTACTGGTGTTGGACCTGATCCTTAGTTTTGCACTCCAATGTCCTAGTCCACAGGAGTTTTGGGTAGGCTAACAATGCAGGATCTGGCCTCTGGTGCATGATGGGATGCAATTATGCCTACTACCGTGGGCAAAGTGTGTGTGCATGTCTTCCATTTCTAGAGTTATTCCCCACTATAATTACAGGGAATATCTGTAGTTACCAGGATGAAGGTAAGAGAGAGCAGGCATTTCAGCTGGCTACAGCTTGGAGCAGCCAGACTCGGTGTGGGGAGGGGAGAGAGGGAGATTTAGAAAGATGGTATAATGCCTCCTTATCTTCCCCAACTCTTGAGTCCTGTGCTGAGCAGAACTCAGCGAGACATAATCCCTCATCCTTAAAGGAATAAGCAAATCACTAACTAGGAGGATCAGGAATAGAGATTTTTCTGGGGCCAGTCCAAGGCTGTAGAATGAACTTCCACAAACTTCCCAGCTTTCTGGTCCAAGTGCAAGGTTTACTACTTTGATGTGGTCCTCAATAACAAACATGTATAGCACAGTAGACATTAATTTTTTTTTAAATTAACACCCCTCCCCATCCAATAAAACCTCACATAATTTTCCCCTGGGAGAGAAAATATGGGGAAGACAGAACGTCACATATGACAACTGCTAGTCACATCATTTAATGCACTTCTGCAAGGTGCTGAGATACAATGGTGAAGAGGGCTGCATCAGAACCTGAACAGAGAATCAAAACAATTTTTTTAACTTAACTTTTCATTTAACTTCCCCTTTCCTCCCTGTAGGTTGTTACATAATTATCCTTTCATGGGATTCTAGCATATTTTGTTCAAGCATCTAATATTTGTCAGTGTCAGAAACAGGACACCAGAGTAGATGGACCGCTAGTCTAATCCAATATGGCAATTTGTATGGTCCTGTGTTCCTATGCCTCTTAGTGATCCTCCTTCATCTTCTCTCCTCACTCAATCAGATAAAATGTCCAAATACCCTGTCTTCTCTGGGGAAATGCTGATAGTGTACCCGTGTGCATCTACCGGCGTGGGTCAGTCAGATCTCCTTGGACACACAGTCAATATATTTTAAAACCCAGTTCCTGTTTCCAGGATATTTTACATACTCTGTTCTCTTGTCTCCCATTAGCAGTATGTGTTAATTCCCCTTAATTAATAAGGTAGAAATATTAGACAGTTATTGTCTAATTGTTAAGTATAACTCTACAGTTTTATCATGTATTCTATAGTTTTTGTTTTATTACAGAAAAATGTAGTGTATGTGAACAAGTTTTCCCAGAAATTGTGTCAAATTCTGATCTCAGTTGCACCCATGCCACCCCATTGACTACATTCGGGTCAAACATGTAAATGTGAATGGGTTCTCTCAGTTACAGCACAGTTAAATTGCTATGGAAGTGTCAGAAGTTTCTAAATGTACCAGTGTACTCTGAGTACATGAAACTGGATGCACAGCTTTTCATCTGTCAACCCTGATTCAGACAAGGCATTATTATGATGAAACTATATTTTATTCTCCATTTCCTTTTTAGTCACTTAAATAAGTGTCACTTCAAAGGGTTCTTTTTGCAAAAGCTGCATATCCACTAATAAACATTGAATTTAATTAATCAGTTTGTATTTTTCACATATATATGTCAAACATTTCATACAATAGCTTATTTTTCACCCATTAGCTTATTTTTTCATGTATCCCTTTATGTGTGTTTGTCTTCAAACAGGAGAAAACTATTGAATGTCATCTTTTGAAATGCACATGATTCTTTGAAATTCCAGACAGCTAAACAATCCAGCTTCTATGACCCATTAATTTCACATGGCCTTGCTGTTTCCTACATGGCAAAATCTCATCAAACAAAAGCCGATGAGAACTCCACTTTTTGATGTATAATTAAAATAATACTCAGTATTTACATAACACTTTACATAATCAAAGCATGAAATGAATGTTAATGAATTCATTTTGAAAACACCCCCGTGGTGAGGAAGGCCACCTTCCTGGTCTCCTTTACACTGACGTAAACCGAAGTAAGTCCTTTGAGACAGCATGTAAACTGGTGGCAGAACTGGCACTGGAATGTCTGATTCTCAATACTGTGTTCAGTCCAGAAGACAATGCTGTGTTTTATAAAGAAATGTTCTTATGGTTTTTAGTGTTCAGCTCAGAAAATTCTGCTGCAGATACTTCAATTTTTTCCATGGTTCCAGACAACACTTTTTTCCATGGTTCCAGACAACACTTTTGTTTACTGTCACCACTTTTTCAGCCAGAACTCAGTGGTTCCTATGGTAAACTATGGTGATTCCCCCAGAAAAGGTAGCGGTATTTAAACAGCAACAACAAAAACAGAGAAGGCAGGACTCAGAGACTGGAAATTGGAAATGACACATTTTTGCAAAGAGGAAAGACATAAAAGGACTATTGACAAGTGTGTCTACTGAAGAACAGTGTCCAGTCACATATAGGAAGGGAAATAAGTGTGTGGGATCAAGTAAAAAGACAGTTGTTCTAGAAAATATTCATGTTTATGAAGTATTTGAGTGAAACACAGGGCAGTGTGGCATAGTGAGCAATATCTTTGGATGAGGATGGAACTGGATAGATGGTAATGAAATTGTCAGAACTAGGCAACAGTAGAAAAATGTAAATTAAAATGTCATTGCAGATGTAAATATTTAATAATAATAAAATATTTGTTATATGCTCTAGGCAGCTCTTTCTGATCAGGAGAGAAAGAAAATGAAGCGAAAAGGGGACCGGTATTCTGTGCAGACATCTCTCATTGTAGCAGCACTGAAGAGATTACTACCTATTGGTCTAAATATTTGTGCACCCAGAGACCAAGAGTTAATTGCACTGGCCAAAAACAGATTCAGCATGGTAGGTCCTCTTCATGTGTTTTTTTTCTTCTAGATCTGGGGCAGTGGAGAAGTGACATTACACTGTTCCTCTAACAGAGTTCTGTGAGATTTCCCTGCTTTTTCTTGCTTTAATCCTCTCTATCCTCAGGACCTGACCCCAATGCCCATTGAGTCTTTTGATTGACCACAGTGGGGTTTGGATCAGACCCTAATGATCATGCTTAAAAGGATTAGATGGAACTCAATTTAGAGGACTATCAAAACATTCCAGAATTGATCGGTAAGAAATGTGAGACGTTCTCAGACTCTTTTCTTGGGGCTGAGTGTTCTGTCTTTGCAACCCTGCAGACAAGAGAGTAAGAAATTATGACTACAATTAAATGCAAAGCATTAAAACCTGTTTTTTATTATTTAAATGTTGATTTGTGGACATAATTGTAAGGATTCCCAGTGATAACTGAGTAGTGTACAGTACTCTCTTATGTAAAAAATTACCATGGATGACCACCATGGTTATTCATTTACACCTCTTAATTTTATTTTGATTTGCTGAAAAAAATGTTTTTTTGGATATGTTGCTTTGTGTAAGTGTATTTTTTTCTAGCTAAGCCTTGGAATGGGCAAAGATTAAACTACTTTTTTTGGTTCAATTATAACAAAGTTATTTCTGTTTGATTTTTTTTTTATGAAAAATTGCCAGTAATAGATATTAACAAACTTTGGTTAGTTAGAAATACAGATAGAAACTATAAATATACTAACATAACTGATTCCCAAATACAGTACTACTTTCACCACTCCCAATTGGTTACATAGTTTTATATTGGCCTAGAGGTTTCACTGTCATACAGATGGTACTTTTAGGAATGATTCCACAGTCAAGTAGCTTTGTTTGACAGTATGATCACAATTCAGTGCAGCTGCAATGCTTTTATGTCATAGAAGCATATATGACCTTCAGACAGCTATACTGTTTTAAAATGACCGGTTTTTGATGAGGGGAAGGGAACTCAAGTCTGAGAAGACCGTCCTTCTCTGTTTAGTGGTGAGTGGGCAACAAAGAATTACATATGGTACCATTCATTACACTGATTTGGGCAAAGGGTTCCAGACTGTATTTATGATGATGATTTTAATGCAAATGATCGTGCAACGGGCTGAATGACTATAGGTAGCTATAAATATAACTGCAGATATAAATGATGGAATCTAGACCTACTCCCGGAGAGCTAAAATGGGGTTAGCCATACCCAGATACCTAAGAGGTAGGCCCCGGGAGCCTTCAGTTGCACTTGGTGCAGGGTCCAGACACAAGCTTGGTCTTGCCACTCCTAGTGTATAAGAATTAAGAGGAGAGGGGACCAATGTGGACAGTGGTGCTAGACACCCCAAAGAGAGTAGGGACAAGGAGGGTACAATGCCTCTCCTTCCTCCACACTGACAAAAACAGCTTCGTCTGTGCAGATGCAAAGAAAGCATACACCAGTGAAAGGATGTATGTAGGGGCCACTTTATGCTCTTGCTTTCCAAATACTTGCAGTTATTGTACCAGTTTCCAGCACAATATGTTCAGGAACTGCAGCTGGTATGCAGCTCTCTTTAAGTCATTACCTACATTAGAGAAGGATAAAAGTCATAATCTTGCCCAGTGTTTGAATAAGACATCATCAGAATAATACTTTGCATTTATACAGTGCTTTTCCTCTGAGGATATCAAAGTACTTGATATGAATAATACTTAACCCTCAATACATGCCCGCTGGATAGGCAGATATTGTTATCCCCAGTGTACAGTTTGTTAAACTGAGGTACATAGCGGCTGTCAAGTGTCTAGGTCAGCACAGTTGAGTTGGGAATAGAATCCTGAAGTTCTGAGGCCTATCTTAATCCCAAGAGAATGCTCCTTAACATGGTATGCATAGCCTAGGACGTCCCTGTTTAACACAAGTAATTGCTTTATTTCAGTGAATGTTCTGTATGATGTATGTGATACAATGTATTTTTCCTTCACAGAAAGACACTGAAGATGAAGTTAGGGATATTATCCACAGTAATCTTCATCTGCAGGGCAAGGTAATTTAAATGCAATATTTAAGTATGCTCTTTTTCTTTTTTCATAAAACTAACAGAAACCCTTCAGTTGTTCAAGACCAGCCAATGTGTATTTAGAATACCCTTTCTCTAGGCTGTCAAGTGTCTCAGCTTCATCTGATGTTGCCTACACGTTACTCCTAATTTATGCACCCAAAAATCCAGCTATTTGCTCAGAGAGTATTTGTAAATGTTCTGCCAGAAATTCAGATTATTTGGTAGCTGCTACATTTATATTAACAGTATGTATCTGATATATAATAATGCATGGCCCTTTAGGGTGAATCTCTTATTTCATCACACTGACACCTTAAATCACCGGCTTTCTACCCTTTTTGATTTGCGGACTCCTAAAACATTTTGAATGAGGGTGCGGACCCCTTTGTAAATCTTAGACATAATCTGCAGACCCCCAGGATCCCACTGCCTTAAATGATGCAGTGTAGAGCAATGTGATATGCTCAGAGTGGATAGCAATGTGACAATTGAGATTGAAAAAGCTCTTCTATTTGTAATCTGCCATCCCGTACCTGGGTTAGAATCTGCAGAATGCTGAGGCCTCTTTATGACATTTTGGGTTATAAAGAAAGCAGAACCAGCCCTTTTGGAGTACTCCCAGTATAAGGGAGTTTCCCGGTTGGTAAAGTGTTGCCACAATGACACTACACTGCCCCTGCTTTGCAGCCCTGGAATAGAGGGTGTGATAGAAAAAGGGAAGTGTGGCTAGAGCGCATTGGCCCAGGAGAAGCTACAAACTGACACAAAGTACGGTAGACTTGAGATGCTCTAATTTTTTCTAGGGCTGGAGGCTCAAATTTGATTTAAACTCACTTTTGCCTCCCTCCCCAAGGAACAGCAGATTTGGCTCAATGAGTCGAAGTGTTTAGTTTTTTAACATTTTTGTGAAATGATTGGAATGAATTTTCAAACGCATGAATGTGACTTATTAGCCAGAATCTCATTTTCGAAGTAATTTAGGCACCTAAGAAAAAAGTCAAGAGCCCAGGGATTTGGGAGCCTAGGTCTCATTTTTAAAACAGCTTTGTGTTTAGGAGCCTTAGGCATTTATGTACCAAAATAATGTGAGAAGCTTGTCTTATTGAAAGCTGTGATAAATAAAGTGGGGGATAGCTCCCTTTGATGGACACCCAGCCAGCCAATTAGCTGTAAAATCCCTCTTGGTAGCTGTTCTTTACTTGCTTTACCTGTAAAGGGTTAAAAAGTCCCCCAGGTAAAGAAAAAAAAAGTGGGCACCTGACCAAAAGAGCCAGTGGGAAGGCTTGAACTTTTTAAGATGGGGAAAGAAACTTTCCCTTTGTCTGTTGTTCTCTGGGCTGAAGGGACACAGAGCAGCAATGCTGTGTAAGGTTTGAACCAGATATGAAAAAGTAACTTCCATACCTAGAAGAAATAATTTGGATAGGGAATGTTTAGTTAGACGCTATCAGGTTTATTTCTTATTTTGGCTTGTGGATATCCTCTGTGCTAACCCCTGATGCTTTTGTTTGCTTGTAACCTTTAAGCTGTACCCCCAAGAAAGCTAGTTTGAGTGCTTAATTTTTGGAATTGCTCTTTTAAAATCCAGGAAAAGCCTAAGTTCCAGATGTATTTTTTTCTTTTTGTTTTTAATAAAATTTACTTTTTTTAAGAACAGGATGGGATTTTTGGTGTCCTAAGAGGCTTGTGCATATTGTTTGATTAGCTGGTAGCCCCAGCTAATTTCCTTTGTTTTCTTTCTCAGCTCTTCCCTGGGGGGGGAGGAGGGGTGAAAGGGCTTGAGGGTACCCCACAGGGAGGAATTCCCAAGTGCTCCTTACTGGGTTCAAAGGGGTTTTTTTTTGCATTTGGGCGGTGGTAGTGTTTATCAAGCCAAGGTCAGAGAGAAGCTGTAACCCTGGGAGTGTAATATAAGCCTGGAGTGGCAAGTATTAATTTTTAGAATCCTTGCGGACCCCCACCTTCTGCACTTGGAGTGACAGAGTGGAGATTCAGCCTTGACAAAAGCCTGTGGGACTTAAGAACCTAAATAGGTATGTCACTTTTGAAAATGGGAGCTAGGCTCCTAAATCACTTAAGTGAGTATGAAATTACCGTAGATCTTCTTGATAATATTCTTACATTGTCCTGTGTTGTTTGTATAGCACTGAAGTGTAATGATGTAAGATTTATGGATGGTGGGAATACTGGGAATCTCACAAGACTAAGGTGTATATCTTAGTATGATTTAAAAACACACCAAATTTTAAGGTCCAATATCTTGTTGACTCTGTAGGACTAGACACTGAAAGCTTATACCATTTGAGACAGGAGATTCCCAGTTTCCCCAGAGGTAGCAGTACCATCTTCTGAGCCGGAAAGTGCCTAAGATAATGGCCCTTTTAGATATGGAAAAGCTATTTAACTTTGAGGAGCAAAGAGGAATATGCAATCTAAGAAGGCAATGAAAAAGGGAGTTGTGGAGATCCTTGGTAAAACTCATGCAAAATGGCTGTTAAATAAACGACCTGGCAGATTTCAAATTGGCGTGTTTATTACATAATTTTATGCATAAAGTTGAGCAGCGTTTTTTCCCTAATGAGAAGAGGTATTTCTATCCTGACATTTTCAATCCATTCTATGATTTTCCCAGTTCTAAGTGTTGTTCATTTCATGCTGATTTCTAGCTCTGAGTCTACCATTTCCAGTAGTTTTTGTGTGTTCAATTTCAGTTAATTTCTTCTGGGTTTTATTTTGTATGCCCCCATTAAGATGTTTGCATTCATGATTGACTTAAGATAATGACACTTGCTAATACCTTGACCTCAGCCTATGCTTTCACTCAAGAAACTTCCTTTTCTTAGTGTGAAGTCTGCTGCTGTTTAGCATACTGTGTCCTGTGTTTGAAACCCATTGAAAGAAAATGATTTCTTGATTTCTCCTATTAATGAAATCCAAGCTTGTCTTGGTGATAAAGGCTAGAGTAACCTCAGTGAATCTAAAGTAAAAGAATAGATTTTCCATTGACAAACTCTCCAGGGATGTGCTTTTCTTTTCCTATTTGCAAAATGGTTTTGAGGATGAGGAGGAGAGTTTGGATTAGAACAATAGTGTTTGCTCACCATAATGAATAAAGTTTATCCTAAATCAATATGCATCTCTCATCACTAGACAGTGGAAACTATATTTTCAAACTGTTCCTTTAAACTGCATGTAAAAAACGTGTAGTTACAATTGTAACTTCATATTAAATACAAGACCCTAATTTTCAAAACTTGTTCTTCTTAAACACTTTTGTGCCTCATAGCCTTAAAGAACTTTCTTTCTGAAACCAATAAACACTGTCAAATTTTAAAAGGAGATTTTAGTTTAAAATGTATGATTCCTTTGCATTAATTAACACTTCTAAAATATTATATTTGAATGACTTGCCCTGATATTAATTACACTAAAGCATATTTACAATTTTCAAAATGAGCAGAACTATCTGTGTAGGTAATTTCATGTTTCTCTGAGTTTATTAACCTTCGGTTATGCTAAGGCTTCAGGTATCCCTGACGCCTTCAAAACATCTTGTTTCTATTGTAATAGAGAATGGCAGATTACTTGTTTTTCTCATGGAATTGCCTGTTTTTCTTTCTCAACCTAGATCCACATGTGAGAAACATAGGCCTAATGATCCAGGATCTCTTATGTTAGGACTTATTTCTGTTTTTGGAAAGCTGCTTTTCTCAACTGACTCTCATTCCTTGTGGGAAGGCTAGTTTTCTTGCTTGCAGAAAGTTCCTCCACAACAGCAGCATTATTTTCTTAATAAATGTTTTATAGTGTTGCCCAAATGGTATTACTTACACTTCTCACTTGATACCATGTTCTGTGCAATAAATCTCCTAATGCTTAAATGTAATTTTCTGTTTGTTTTATTTCACTTTGTTAGTTTGCATTGGTTGAGGACCTTCTTAGATAAATTGTCTCTTTTGTTTTATATGTTGCATTGTCCATATCATTCATTCGTCTTCCCCTGTCCTCACTGTTTCTGCCTTCCCTTTCCTTGCATGCCTGCATGCTATTACTCAGTACCAAGCCTTTCTTTCAAGAAACTGCTGACAAGACTCATCATCATTTTGACATGGATGAAGATCCAGTCACCAAAGTCTTACTCCAAGCATGCTAACTCGATCCTTGAAATATCAATCATTTGTGTCCATAGAAAACTACCTAAACAAAAGAGCTTGCTTGAAAGCAGCGGGCCCTCAATTCAAAAGACCACTCTGCCTGCAATTAATAAGTCTTTGGTGGACTATGCAGTCATGATGATCCAATCATATGCTCACACAAAGACTGTGGTGGATGTGACCGCTGTTAAGAAATGCAAAAACCGAAAGGTAGATTCTAGGATATAATCAATTATTACTGAGCAAACCTATAAGTTTATAATAATTTGAGCACATTTATAGCGCTTTTCATCCATACATCATAAAAAGTGTTGTAAAGGTGAGTAAGCATTATTATCCCCATTTTAGGCATAGACAAATAAAGTGGCTTGCCCAAAGTGACACACAGTTGATGGCAGAGCCAGCAATAGAACCCAGGTTCATAACTCTCAGTAAAATCCGTTATCAGATGTACCAGGCTGCCTTGCTATCACCAATGTCACTTACACAAAAATTAGTGATAGCTGTGTGTGTGAAGTGTTTCAAGCATCAATGTTTATTAGCACAAATACTGGGGTGACAAAAGAACTAAAGTGAGATTGCTAATTTTGGTGTAAAATTGCAAATCATTGAAATGCAGAAAACTACTTATTTCCCTTAAAATTACATCTAAAATAGAAACAAATAGTGAAAAGAACACTTTTGCTTTGTACATCAGGCTACATTTTTTAATCTTTTAATCTTTTTAATTTTACTACTGTCATGTTAGAAATTTGCCATTAACGATAAAAGGTAAAATTCAAGAAAACAATCAAAAGCAAGTCAAAAATCTTTAATCTTGTTCACTGCTAATGTGCAAAGACTATAAATAAAGTCATAATGAAAAGCAGTATAGTTGGAAGTGCTAAGCAGTGCCAAATGCAGCAGCATAGTCAGTACTCTTTGATTTGATGTTGAGACAAACGTATAAAAGTTTCTCTACAACGTAGTATTTTGCTGTACATCCCATATAAACAATGCTTATCACCTTTTCTGCTGGTGGTGATTTGTTCCTAATGACTGGGCATCCTCCTTGGTATATTATCTCTTTAGACCCCTTTAAGTGTTCAAGAAACTTTCAGCAAATCAGTAGCCCAGTAGTTCTATTTGCATACATTGCCCCATTGCTTTACAAGGAACAGTGCCACATTACAGCAGTACCGGCTGCTACAGTTAGACACTCAAAAGGAAAGGTTTAGCAAAAGAAAAAGACCTTCTGTTGTCTTAGAAGCAGTGTTAATAATACTTCATAAACTGTTTGAGCCTTGTGTTTGGAGTACTTTGTTTAGATTATGTGTGAAATATCTTGTTCTTGCAGCTCGAGGATCCTGCCATTAGGTGGCAGATGGCCCTTTACAAAGATTTACCAAACAGGACCGAAGATACTTCAGATCCAGAGAAGACCGTGGAAAGAGTTCTGCATATAGCTAATGTACTTTTCCACCTGGAACAGGTTAGATTTTTTTCAGTCCTATAACATCCTACTTTAAAAAGCAGATGATGGGAAGTATTTGCAATCACAGGTAATGTTTCTCACTCTTAACTGTGGGTTAAAAAAAGCATCCTCTGCTTAGACCTGAGGATCTCAAATGTTTTCATAGTATGAACCATCTCTTAACAGACAGATTAGCTTCTGGCAATCTTCATCCTTTGTGATCACATAAATTCCTTGCAGCACCTCCAGCAATTGTTTGCCTGGAAAAGTATTATTAGGAAAGTGTATTTTTAACTCTTATAGTGCCTTTTAGCTGGCACTATCGGACCAGCCATCTGTCTATTCACCACCAAAAAATGCTCCACAGACTTCTAATGGTCTGTGGACCATGATTTGATAAACATTATGTTAAATAACAAAATATGGAAGTTTCTCAAGATCAGTACATTTTTCATTTTGTTCCCATTAGTATTTCCTGGACCCAGTAGATTTTCTACATAGAAGGATACTTAATCTCAAACTGCCCAAACCTCTGGTAACAAGCTGTGTATTAATATGAAGTTTGGCTATTCAGATTATCAATAGATTTCTTGTCCTGTTGTAATCTTAAAGAACTAATTACTGTAAACTGTTTTTTCAAATAGCTTTTAAAAGAGATACCCTGTTGATAAAGTATCTGTTATAACTTTCAAAATCCAGGTGAGGGCTGCTGGTAAAATGAATCTGAGTAAATATATGTACATTTAAAAATAATTAAATTTCCTGTGAAATACAATAAACTCTTGATTATCCAAACTGCTTGGCAACACAAGCTATGTTCTGATAATAATTCCACAAACTGTTAGTCAATAGACAGGAGTCAAATTCACTCTTGCTGGTACAGAAATGAGTACAGACTACACTGTTCAGTGCCAGTTTGGCCTGCTGCACTCCAGTGGGGATTCAAATGAGAATGTCTGCTGGGGTCTGCATTGAAGCCCACTGGCAAAGTGCCTAGGGGATATGTTTAGTGAGTGCATTCCCCTTATGCCCTTACTGTAGTACCTCCCATTTTGGGGGCTTCCTTAAGTTATGTACGTATCCTTTCTCCCTCTACCACTTTTTGCCACTTGTATCTCTGGGTGAGTTTGGCCCAGAAAGCCCATAAAATGGGGGTATATGCTGGACAGATGTACAATTCAGTGACCCTAGATCATAACTTCAAATGATGGGACATGGAAGAATAAAAGGTGTCTGAGACCTCAATGCTAGTAGATGGTTTTGTGGATAATTTACACTATACATAGTTTTTGGTCAGCGAAGGAAGCCTCCCTTTGGGCTGTATGCTTCCAGTTTATAATATGGAAGACTTTACACTTAGAGTTTAAAATATGAGTTTGCATAGTGAATGAGTTTAAAGGTTTACCTACTGATTTATTTTTTATTATTTGCATTACTTTAGTGCTGAGGGAACCCAACAGAGATTGGGGCCCATTGTAGATTCCAAGGCCAGAACGGACTGTTGTGATCATCTAGTCTGACCTCCTGTATAGCATAGGCCAAAGAATTTCCCCAAAATAATTCCTAGAGCAGATTTTTTAGAAAAACATCCAATCTTGATTTAAAAATTGTCAGAGGTGGAGAATCCACCGTGATCCTTGGTAAATTGTTCCAGTGGTTAATTGCTCTCACCATGAGACATTTATGCCTTACTTCCAGTCTGAATTTATCTATCTTCAACTTCCAGCCATTGGGTCATGTTATATCTTTAGAGGTATGTTTGTGAAATATTATAATTTAGAGAGGCTCCCTCAGAAGGGGCAGTATTATGAATATAGGAATTTTGAAATGTGCCCTGGAAGCAGGGGGTTGAGAACAAAGGGTAACTGTGTACAGTAGTTCAATATGGATGCGCTTTAGGTTTTAATAAAAGTTTTATTCCTTACTCATTCACTGGTTTGTTATTTAATGAATCCCAGGATCCTTACAATACCTTTCTCTGCTAGACTGAAGAGCTCATTATTATATATTTGTTCCCCATGTAGATATTTATTGACTGTAATGACTATAAGGCATGTTTTCTAATCCTTTAATTATTCTCGTGGCTCTTTGAACCCTCTCCAATTTTTCAACATCCTTCTTGAATTGTGGGCATCAGAACTGGACACACTATTCCAGCAGTGGTCACATCAGCACCAAATACAGAGGTAAAATAACCTTTGTACTCCTCCTTGAGACTCCCCTGTTTATGCATCCCAGGATTGCATTAGCTCTTTTGGCCACAGCATCCCACTGGGAGCTCATGTTCAGCTGATTATCCACCATGACCCCCAAATCTTTTTGAGAGTCTCTGCTTCCCAGGATAGAGTCCTCCATTCTGTAAGTATGGTGTATATTTTTTTGGTCATAGATGCATAGTTTTACATTTAGCTATATTAAAACGCATAGTGTTTGCTTGTGCCCAGTTTTTCAAGCACTCTTAAGTCACTCTGAATCAGTGACTATCTTCTTCATTATTTACCACTCCTGTAATTTTTGTGTCATCTACAAACTTTCAGTGATGATTTTATGTTTTCTTCCAGGCCATGGATAAAAATATTAAATAGCATAGGGCCAAGAACCAATCCTTGTGGGACCCCACTGGAAACACACCTTCTTGATGGTGGTTCCCCATTTACGGTTATATTTTGAGACCTATCAGTTAGCCAGTTTTTAATCCATTTGATGTGTGTCATGTTAATTTTACATGATTGTTTTTTAATCAACATGTGTGTTACTAAGTCACATGCCTTACAGAAGTCCAAGTATATTACGTCAACATTATTATCTTTATCAATCAAACTTGTAACTTCATAAAAAAAATCAAGTCAGTTTAACATGACTATTTGCCATAGACCATGTTAATTTGCATTAATTACATAACCCTCCTTTAATTCTTTATTACTCGAGTTCTGTATCAGCTGCTCCATTATCTTGCCCAGGGTCAATGTCTGACTGACAGGCCTATAATTACCTGGGTCATCCTGGTTACCCTTTTTAAAAATTGGCACAACATTAGCTTACTTCCAGTCTTCTGGAACTTCCTCAGTGCTCCAAACCATATTGAAAGTCAGCATTGACGGTCCAGTGATCTCCTCAGTCAGCTCTTTTAAAACTCTTGGATGCAAGTTATCTGGACCTGCTTATTAAAAATGGCTAACTTTAATAGCTTCTGTTTATCGTTGTCTGGAGGTAGTAGTGGGATGCAAATGGTGTCGTCGTCGTCATCATCATCATATGATGAGAATATCATCTCTTTCCCAAATACGGATCAGAAATATTTATTGAACACTTCTGTCTTTTCTGCATTATTATTGATAATTCTATCATTTCCATCTAGTAATAGACCAATGCCATTGTCAGGATTCTTTTAGTTCCTAAAATATCTTGAAAACTCCTTCTTACTGTCCTTAACTCTGCAGGCTATAGAGTTCTTCTTGTGTCACTTGGCTTCCCCTGTCAGTTTTTCACAAATTGTGAGAAGCACTGTACAAAACACAGGTAAGAGACTATTTTGTCCCTGAAGAGATAGCAGTCTAAGTAGACAAGAGGAAAGGAATATACCATACAAGCAGAATGAACAATGATGATTAACAAATGTAATGTTCGCTAAAAAAGGAGGCGAAGGAAAGGAGAAGGTACATGGAAGTGAGGTGTAAAGGGACTAGGAGAAAAGAGGAGAGCCAGGGAAGAAGGAGGGCAGATGTAGTGAGGCTAAAGTGAGGAGGCTGTAAGTGAAGGAGTTGTACATAACAGCCACTTGGGGAAAAGGATGTCCAGAGTGAAAACTGAAATAATCAATCAGGCACTGATGAGGTCATCAGGGTCCAAAGGTCCCTGCTGCAGCTGCTTTTCTCTGCTCCTGCTGGCCAGGTTTCTGGGAGGCCCCTCTCAGGAGGTTCTTTCTTCTGCAAGCTCCCATGACTGGTGGGAAGGAGTGAGACCAGATTGGTTTTGTTGTCCCAGAACTGGGTATCTCCCTGCAGTTTTGCGTCTGGGTCCTGAGATAACCTTGGTAAATCCAGCTGGGTCTCAGCTCCCCTCTTTTCCCATAGGGCAGCTGTACCACCTGCAGCTGCTTGCGTCTGTTTCTGATGGCTGAGTTTCTGGGAGTACTCTCCCAGCAGTTTCTTTCTTTGCTGAACTCGTGGCTGCAGAAGGGGTGGGATCTCACAGCTCCCTGAAAGGGCAGGAAGAGCTTCTCTCCTGCAAGTTGATAGATTTTATGCTAAATTTCAGAAGTTAGGTAGTGTTACAGATTCATCTGAAATTCCTTCCCAAGAGCATGACAATATTTCATCTTCAGCAGCCCACGAACCCCAACAGTTTGTCCAAGTCATCATGCACAATCTGGCAGGTCCTTCTTTACGAATTAGATGTTGAAAAATCATTTGAGTGTACTACACAAAAATCCACATTGTGTTTTGTTTTGCTTCTACAATAGGTCAAGCTGCATACAGGGAAACCATGTCTAAATAGCAGTCTGACTGCATCAGTCACTGCAGTTTTCTCACAGGCCTGAAACTAGTGGGTATGTTAACGCGCGCACAAAAGTGGCAGAGTTGGTAGCTAGCCTCAGATCTGTTTCTGTCCAGGAGATTTACAGGTAAACCACATAGAGTTCTCTATATAGTTACAAAGAATTATTGCTTGGATAGCATCGTGGCCTGAATTCTGGTTCCGGAAGTACGTCAGCTCTTTCAGATCATACCCTGCTAATGCATTTTTAGGATGCTTCTGTGATTAGTCATTAGCTGGAGAAGAGTGCAGTAGCACCACCAGGGAGGAGGAAACTGCTCCTTCCCAGGGAGGAAGCTGGCTCCTGGTACTTCTGAGAATAGGACAAGAAGAAAAAAACTTTAATTAATTGTAGCAAAGACAGTTTAGGTTGGGCATTAGAAAAAACTTCCTAACTGTAAGAGTAGGTAAGCACTGGAACAAATTGCCTAGGGAGGTTGTGGCATTTCCATCATTAAAGGTTTATAAAAACAGGTTAGACAAACGCATGTCAGTGATGGTTTAGATGAGTGGTTCTCAAAGACGGTCCGCCGCTTGTTCAGGGAAAGCTCCTGGTGGGCCGGACCGGTTTGTTTACCTGCCGCGTCCGCAGGTTTGGCCGATCGCGGCTCCCACTGGCTGCAGTTTGCCGCTCCAGGCCAGTGGGGGCTGCGGAAAGGGCGGCCAGCACGTTCCTTGGCATGCACCACTTCCCACCCCCCTCCATTGGTCTGGAGCAGCGAACCGCGGTCAGTGGGAGCCGTGATCGGCCGAACCTGCGGACGCAGTAGGTAAACAAACCAATCCAGCCCACCAGGGGCTTTCCCTGAACAAGTGGCGGACTGGCTTTGCGAACCACTGGTTTAGATAATACTTAGTCCTCACTTAGTGCAAGGGACTGGACTAGATGAGCTGTTGAGGTCCCTTCCAGTCCTACATTTCTATGATTCTATGATCTTTTACATCTGTTAAGAAGTGTTTTATAATTCTCATCATTAAAATCCTCTGATCTTGTTATTTTTTCTGTTAGTGATATATTTCTTAAGTTGACATGCAATTAAAATATGTCTGTTTCTGGTTTCAGTTTTATTATTATTATGTTTAATAGCAACATATATTAGGGCACTACTTGCATTTTTTTTAGATCCCAGGAATAGGGTTATATTAGAAAAAAATACCTTTGAAAAAAGGAAAAATACCTGTAATATTTGTTCTCAGAAGTTATTGTAGTTATTATACTAGGTGCCAATTTACTCACCCATTTCACCCATCTATTTTCCCTGCAGTGTTGGTGATATTTATCATTACTTTCCTCAGAAAATGAGTTGACTATTAAAGGCATTTGGGACCATAGCTGTTCCTCAGTAGATACTACTTTTTGATGAGGCAGTGTAGTAGCTTTAAAATTAGAACTAGGAGAGTATTCAGTAGCTTTATTCTGAAAAATTGGACCCAAGGGTGGGAATCTTTTATAGTAACTTATCTCCTGAGATCAGAGAGGCAGCTATTAGAAACAACTACTGGTAATAGTAATTTTCTTTATTACAATGTAATTCAAAACGATGAGTTGTGATGAGTTATCTCGGTGACTTCTCATGAAAGTTTGGGAATTTTCATCATTTCAAATTTAACCACAATAACTTTCCCTCTTTGTTTCAATAATATTTTAAATTTTTTTCAGCAAACGTAATTACAGACATTTGGTTTTCTTCAAGTTCTTGTCTTCTTCCTGTGTTTAGCTGAGTTGATTGTGCCCTTGGAGATTGAGCGGCATGTGCAAAGTCACACAATTCACCATTGGGATCTGCCCACCTTAGAATTCAACCAGTATTTATATTCTCTTGTTTTCTAGTATTTTGCTTTATATTATAAGTTCATGTGACCTTTTTTTATTAACATTGTAATAGATAATAAACTATAGCCCACATTCTCTAGTGAGGTCAAGCTGTGCATGGTATAGGACCCAAGAGGGACTTTTATATCTGTCCAGTCTTGACGTGGACTGGGGGTTCACTGAAGTCTCACTGTTCCTGGCTGAGGCAATAGGAGTAACTGAAAATTCTAAATACGGACTCTTCACGCATTTTTCATTCACTGGATTATATTTGAGAGTCTATTTCCCCCACTTAATTTACCATGCTCCGCTTAAAGTAGATATAAGTGGTAAGCTTCTCTGGTCCACTGAATGTACATTGCACAGCTCAGTCTGTACAACGTTGACTGGAACTGGCCAAAAACGTCTAGCAATGAATTCTCTCTGTTCAGGAGTTTGGTTTCATGATGCACATTAGTTAGATTTAGTATCTGTATCCATTTATGGCCTGATCCTGCAAACACTCTACTAATCAATGTGAATTCTGGTCCCACTTCAGCAAATTACTCAGGGCTTATCTACACAAACAATTAATTCATGGCCAGCTGGGGTGTGAACCTGCCTCACACTAGCTTGCTGTGGACTAACTGTCCACATGGACCCTGCTGATGCCTTTTAACAATCTGTTAATTCACTTTGATCTAGTTCTCTTTGAAACAGAAGATCAAAGCACACTAACAAACAGTTGTATTAGCAGGGTCTATGTAGACATTCCATGTCAGGCTAGTGCATGGTAGATTCGTACTGCAACTTGCCAGGAACTAAATGTTTGTGTACATAAGCCCTTAAGCACAGCCTAACTTTAAACAAGTGAATAGTCCGATGGATGTCAAGAGACTAAGGAACCTTGCTGAATTGGGATTCTCTGTTACTTTAAATTTTTCTAACACTCCTACACTAAAGTAACTGTAAAACCCAAATCACATCCTGTTTTGGATCCACTGAGATCATTATTTGAGACTCTCTCTCCTTCACACCAGTAGCTGCCCTTTACCATTCAGCCCTAAAAGAAATCTGTGTATTTTTTTAAACTGATCAGTCTGCATACATCCCTACTCTTATTTTCTAATGCATTTCTCTTTAAATTCATATTATGTTTCATTGTATGGCCTTGTGTATTTTATTCTCTTTATGTATTTCATATACATTTGCTTCCCTCATTTAAATGGGTAGTTCCATTTCTTTAATCTTGTGTGAAAAATATTAGCCATGGGAGCAATCAGTTCCATTAATTTTTATGGTACTTCGTTATAGCCCAGCAAATCCCAGTGCTTTCCAGATGTCATTATGCAGAAAGCTTTGCCTATTGCATCTGCAGGGAGGTGCCATCAGGTTTTTTTCTTTCGTGCATGTCTAATTTTTTCTATTTTTATTACTTCCAGCAATCTTCTAAAATGCGCCAGAGATTTTTCTGTTTGGGAAGTATAGAGAGTTTTATTGTAGTTTGTAAATATATTATTAATGAGTTTCACATTGGGGTGTGCTTGGCTGAGTATTAATAGCTCTGATGGCTTCATTTTGTTTTGTGGTTCTCAGTATGAATGCAACAGAGTGATTTGTTTAATACCCTTTCTCATAACAACTTTGGTTCACTTTACTCATTCTTTTGGAAGGGGCTGTGGCCTTTAATCTGTCTTTCACTGAGATTAATTCTTCTCCACTGTGCTGTGGATGCCCTGTGATTTCTTTGCCTGTTAAATTAAGTGATTCCATTCACAGCTGCTAGGTGTGTTGTTTGTGAGTTTTATTTATTTTGAATGGGTCACTAAACTAATAAAATACTGTTTAATAACTGCTTTCCCTAAATTCAGTTTTGTATCCTTAAAAATGTTCTCATTGTCATGCATTTCAAAGTACTATAGTTTCCTTTATTATGCATGAGAGCATCAAACCTTTCATTAAGGTGACATTTAACTTCCATTGTCCTTTTTGATGATGTGAGGAGGTAGAGAAACTGAATACACTGGCGCACAGTCAAACAGCATGATGACTCTGTCTGAATTGGTGGTCCATGGGAAAAAAAATAGATTCTTGAGTAAGAATTACATAGTTTTGAGTAGAATAAAATAATTGTTTTAGGAGAAAATGTTAACTGATATGTCACAAAGAAAGCTATGTTAATTTCCAGCATTCACAGGCACAACTGAGGTGTTTTAGGTCACCCTATGTTCATCCTGACCATTCATGCTTAAGGAAGGGGATACAGGGTTATTGGGATCGATAGATAAGTTCATTACTTTTCAATGCCAGCCACAGCAAGTGTAGTTAGAGTAGTATAAACAGAGACATTTTAAACATAAGTAAAAGTAATTTCTTTTTCATTGAATTCCAGTATTACATGAGAGATGGCCTCAGTGACATACTAATCTCTAGTTCAAATGGCCTAGGGTTAGGGTAAGAATAAAGGAGGAAAATAATGCAGAGTCCAGACGGGACATTGAATCATGTCGGTCACATAATATTTGTCTGGTCACTTGAATAATGTGTAGAAAACATTTTTGCCAGTTACTTTCTGTTATCTGTTCTCTGACTGTGCCCCGGTTAGTTTTTTATTAAAAGTCAGTCAAGGAAAAGAAGCATTGTTTATTTTTCATTGTGTAATTTGTCTACCAGGTTGAGCATCCTCAGAGGTCCAAAAAGGCAGTGTGGCACAAACTGCTGTCCAAACAGAGAAAAAGAGCAGTAGTGGCCTGCTTTAGAATGGCTCCATTGTATAATCTGCCAAGGTAAGAATGAAGTGGCAAGCTTCAAACAAAGGAAAATACACATACCAAGGTTCTATAATGTTGCTTTCTGTTTTTATCTCCGAAATGAAAATTTACAATGATTTATTACATTCTTGTCATACGTCTTTTGAAAAGAGCTGCTAAAAGTGCTAAGTGAAAAAAAGCTGATCATGATTTTCCCTTCTCTGTGAACCCTTCTGTTACATTCCTCTGGGTATAAATTTCTTTCCTATTGGTCTGCTTTTACACCCAAATGCAATGATCGAGCTCATGGCCCAAACGCAGGATTGTGTACCCTACTCCTCCTTGTGTAGCAGAAGTTCAGAACCCATGACTCGAGAAATCTCAGTGGCTGTGGAGGAAGGATTTTCCCCTAGACACATTGTTGTTTGGCCAAGTCCAGCTAAAAGTATTTCTAGAATGTGTGTGTCCATTGTACAGCATGCTACCACTGCCAAGAAATCAGTTGGCCTGTTGCCAAGCTCAGTCAGGAAAAGGGAATTCTGTATCAAGCACAAAAGCAATGACAATTGCAGAGGCTGAGTCTGTGGTTCCGCCCCAGGGAAGGTGGCAATGGTTTGGGCTGTCACATTGGGTTGATTCTGGCCTTATGTACCTGCTTCTAAAAGGAAACTACTGTTAGATATAGGGGCTGAGACACCTTTGCCACTAATTTATTCTTACTTTTTAAAAGTGGTTCAGTGGGCTTCTGCATATATGCATTCTGGACTTGTATATTTTTGTTAATTCTGTTTCATTCTTCATTCACCCCAAACATTTGAAAATGATTGCTGAAATGAATGAGGGGATTCATAAGATTATTCTGTTGGGTATACGCCGTTGATTCAATTATAAACACAAAAAGTTTGTTTTTGCTTATTATCTTGCAAGTATCTCTGAAATAAAAACATGGTGCGAAATTCACTTTACTCTGCATTGATTTAATTTTACTTATTTTGGAATAAATTAATTTATGATTTTGAATATGCAAGTTTAATCATGAAAATTAAAAATACAGTTAGTTGGCCACCAGTCCAAACAAAAAGTCATTCATGGCTGCTGGTCCCAGCAGTATAGTGTTAAATGAAAATTTTACAGTCAAGATGAAACACACTAATGTAATCCCACAAGATCATCGTCGCTGAAAGGATTGTATTTCTCTATTACTATTTTTAATTGCTTCAAAAGATACTTGAATGATAAGATCTTGGAATAATTTATTAAAATTCTGATGCTAGTTTGTGTAGATGTTTTTAATGCCAGACACTTTTGAATAGGGGACATCATTGAAAATTCTAGGGCAGTCTTAATTAAACAAATGGATATTTTTTGACAGGTCTTACCAGGAAATATTACCCCCCTGTGCAAGTGGTTGTTGTACTCGCTGCACAATTCTCTGAATAAGATGAATTTATACTGAGCAAATCTTCTTTTTGTAGATTAATAGTTTTGTTTTAAATATTCTTTTTTTAGGCATCGAGCTGTCAATCTCTTTCTTCAAGGTTACGAAAAGTCTTGGATTGAAACAGAAGAGCATTACTTTGAAGATAAACTGATAGAAGATTTAGCAGTATGTTCTGGGTGCAGGGATAATGGGATTGTAGATTATATTTATTGATAATCATGTATAATGAACAGACAGGAATTTAAGGAAAAAGAACAAAATATAAAACCAGGGTATTAGTATTGGCCCCGACCAGACCTTCCCTTAGGAGCACCCACAGAAGTTGCTTAGGGAAAGGAAATCTATTAGGGAGGGAGAGCTTGAGCCCTGCAGAAAAGGCCATGGTTCCTACTCCAAACCCGTCAGATCCTGGGAGCCATCGGCAAATAGGCTCTGTATTCTTGTCCACTGCTGAGCCTCCTCCCACTCTGTAGGGCCTGGGTGAAGGGCACCAGTCCTGAGGAGATGGCTCAGCCCCATCTTTCACACTGAGGGCCCAATGCAGTGCACACTGAAGTCAGGTATGAGTCGTAACATTTTGTGAAGGGTCCCCTCTATACACAAAGGTAAGGGATTATTAAGAAATAAAATGCTATTATTAAGAAATAAAATGTTTAATTTAATTTTAACTGTTTTGAGTTTATGCTGAGAGAGACTGTGAACTGTTTTGAAAGCAGACAAAGATTGAAACAGAAGAGGGAATACGATCAGTAAATTGCCAAAATGTAAATGAGATTTCTACTAGTAGTAGGCAGGAAAATTGTTTTTTGCCTAAGTTTTAAAAACTAGTTAGTTTTGTTGAAGTCAGTTTTCTGTAGATCCCTTTTTGTGCAATGCATTACATTGTCAGCGTAAAATAAAATGTTCCTGATTAGGTTAGAATTGCAATTCACTGGACAGTGGTTATAAAAACAAGAAAATATTTAACAATGTTCTTGCTTGTCTACAATAATTGTTTACAACAGGCTATTTAAAAATACAGTTCAGAATCTAGCTTTCAGCAACTTTATAACAACAAATTAAATTTCTCCACTTTTTGTAATATAGTCATAAGATAACATACAGTTGAAAAGCATATTTTAACAATGATTTTTGTAGATATTGTCTTTAATAGCTTTGAGCAATTCCGAAGATTTCTGAAGATTATCCAGAATTTGAGAAACAGAATATTGCAGAAGTATTGTTAAAAAGAGAAATGAATAGAATAATATAATAAGATATTAACTCCAAAAAAGCCTTAATTTATTACGTGATTAACTATGATTTTGTGAGGATTAGACAGCCAGTCTATTCAGAGTCTAAACACTTATATAACCTCCTGTGCTCAAGTATCACAAATTTAACACTTTAATGTCAGGCATTTCTCTTTCCCTATTTTTTTTTTATTGGTAGGATCTATTGTGGTTATGAGAAGCTGGAAAATGACATAAACTAAAGAAAAGGAGTACTTGTGACACCTTCGAGACTAACAGATTTATTTGAGCATAAGCTTTTGTGAGCTACAGCTCACTAATGCATCCAATGAAGTGAGTTGTAGCTCACAAAAGCGTATGCTCAAATACATTTGTTAGTCTCGAAGGTGCCACAGGTACTCCTTTTCTTTTTGCGGATACAGACTAACATGGCTGGTATTCTGAAACCTGTCATAAACTAAAGAGTAGAAGATGTTAGAGTGATTAGAACATAATTAGACCCTTCTCCATGCATAACTAGTCCTTGCTTCCTCCACCTATGCATAATGTTGGGCCTTTTCTCCCTTGTGTGTATAGTGTTCCGTGACTTGACTGTCTATTTTGGCCTCATGCTGTTAGTTATATTCCCTAGACAGATGAGAGCACAGAAGAGTTTGAAAAAATCTTTTTATTACAGATATAACTCTTAATAAATTCACATACACAAAGAGGGTAATGCATTTAATAGCAGCTAGTGCCTCTTTAAAATGATTACAAATGGAAACCTCTAGAAAGAACACTTAAGGAATTGTTCCTGATCTTTGGAAGTAAACAATGGATAAATTATTGTAGTTGTTTTTCGCAATACACACAGCCTAACTGCAGACTGCTCAACTTCTGAACTACTGAACATGCTGTGCCCTGATATCCACTGTTCCTGCAAAATCTTTAAAACTCAAATCCACTTATGTGCAACTAACCTTGCATCCAGGAGAGAGCACAGAAGCACATCTTCTTGGGTGGGGGAGGGGGCTCCTGCTGCAACATTCATTCACTGACCAAGAGAAAGACTGGAAATAGACACCCCCTGGTGATATTTATTTCATGTACGAGTTTATTTCTCTGATATCCACCCCCATGTATTTTCAAAAATTAAAAAAGCAAGGCAAAATGGCCTGGAGAATAGAAGGGGAAAGAAAAAATAACTGTAAGGGCTTGGAAAAAGAAAACACAAAATGTTCATAGATGAATTAACCAAAATATATAACAGAAAGTCTTTACACTCACCCTTGCTGTCAGAACTACTTTGTGACCCCAGAGACATTCCCCAAAATTGCAAGAAGTGACAGTTTTGTGGCAGCAGTGTGTGGGTGTGTATGCAGACATCTGGTACAGTAACTAACTTAAAATAACATGAACGGCTCTCTCTTCACTATCTAGCCACCTTTCCTCCTCATCTCAGCATGATATGTGTGTATGTTCTGGGAAGATCAAAATAAACTCTGTGCCAGCAGATGGCTAGAAGGCTCACACCAGTATGCCTTTTGGGGAACACAAAGCAGATTGGCTCCTGCAGTGCCCTTTAATAGAGGGCAGCATGCATTCCATCCATGCCAGCTTCTTTCTGCTGCTGGTGTAGGAGGAGGAAGGAACTGCTGAAGTTAGCACCATAAATTACAATACAGTCTCCCAATCTTAGAAGCTATAAAAACCAAAGTAATCTGGAAAATTTCTCATGAAAGGAAATCAGTATTTCTACTTTATTTCCTCCAATAATAGAAATGGAATTCACCTTTTCTTGCCCCTTATTCCCTGGCTTCTTAAAATTCCACGGATGGGCCAACATTTTGCTGTTCAAATTGTGATTATTCCAGTCTGACAGAGTTGCCACAACTGCTAAACCCAAAAGAAAAGCACAGCCCTACATTGAAAGGATGACACTAGCAATTTGGCCACAGCTGCATTTTCTCCTCTTGTGAATGTTTCAACATTGTCACATTTTAATGTATGAGGTAATGATATCAGCATCAATACATTTCAGGGTGCCGCTCCCTTCACAAAGAGAAGGACAATGTTGGTTTCAGCCTGAAGTCTCTCACCAGGGTCACGCTGTAGCAAGGAAAAGTTTACTTTTATTGAAAAGTATCACAAAAATAAATTGAGATTTTGAATTTATTTTTTAACATTTTGACTGTGGTGCCCTACTACAAATGGGGGTTTATCTGAAATTAAATCAGATGGCATACCATGCCCTCCTTTTTTTAATTTACTGTTACAAAAAACACTGTTCCTATATTTAATAAAAAGACACAGATATATATATGCACCTGTGTTTATATGGATACACTAGATATTATATGACTTCTGGCAATAAACTATGTTGAGGAACTATTACTGAGTGCAGTTATTTAACAGGAATGATACTGAATCAATTAATGTTAGTGTAACTCAACTTATATTATGTGGCACTTCAATATTTAGAAACACTATAATTTACAATGTTCCCAATTAATTTTTTTCATAGATTCATACGTTTCAAGGCCAGAAAGGACCACTGTGAACATCTAGTCTGAAGTCCTATATAACACAGGCCATAGAACTTCCCTAAAATAATGCCTAGAGTATTTGTTTTGCCCACTTTTGTTAAGTTTGTACAGGTAATGCATTTTAGATTTAAATAAATATAAATCAAAACTTTATTAATTAATACATTGAAAATTAAGAACCCTTGCATTCCAGAAACACCAGAAAATCCATTTGTTCTTGTTGTCATGCTACAGTATAATAATGCAATGAATTCCACTTAACACAGTCATTGGTAAATTTGATCCTACATTTAATTTGTAGTAGGCCTTTGAAATCCAATATCGTGGATTAAAAAATGAACATAACTTCCATTCTTTAGCTTGATCAGTTTTTATAACTTTAGGCAGGTATTTTGGATGATGAAATCATGGGTTATAGAAAGTTGTCATTTAATTAAAGAGAATAAAGTGCCACTATGATGATCAAATATGACTGCAGTTATAATTTGCATTATTCAGACATAATTATCTATTGTAAGCACTGATTTGTATTGTTAAACGTTTGTGCACACTCCTGGTCCTGGATAATAACAATGGTGACTTATTTCACTGAAAATGGGCTAATTTAAAGGCATTATGAGACAGGCACTGCCATATTTGACGAGGTAGGAGCCAAACCCACATCCAGTAAGTACTTGGTACAGTTGAATGGGAGGCGAGTTGTGAATGAGCCATTTGTAGCTCACTGATAATTGGCCCAGTTCAATACTGATCCAATCACTCACACAATTTAGAGCAGTATTTGGTCTGCTCTAAACTACACCTGCTAGCTATTGCCCAAATGACTGGTAAACTAGCTGGGGATAACAGGAATGCAGCAGCACCCTAGCCGCAACCTCAATACCAGAAGGGCTAGAAGTGGATAGCCTAGAAGCCATCTCTGTGCCATACGAGTATGGAATCCACAGCTAGCCGTCAAAGCTGGCTTTCCAGCTCCTCTGCGAAGAGACTGGAGCAGATCAGATAATCTCACCCATGATCTTTTAATATTTCAATTTACTCATCTGTAAAACGAATAATGAGGATGACAAAGAAGCAGTGAGGATACGTTTATGAATGCGCATAAGTACTTTGAGTTTCTTGGAGTGAAAATTGACAATTGTAGTTTGTGAATTTAATATGGTGTCCTTTTTCAGGCTTAGCTGCCTTTTCCTGACAGGGTGATTTCCTTTGTCCTTATAATGGAAAGTCATCTGGTATTTTGCCTGAGTAAGATCTTCAGGAACAAATTCACAAAGCAGTTTAGATCTTACATCTCTCTTCCTTTTAGAAAAATAGAATTATCTGTGGGAATTTACAAAGTGTACTTTCTTTTTAAAAAGAAAAGGAGTACTTGTAGCACCTTAGAGACTAACCAATTTGAGCATGAGCTTTCGTGAGCTACAGCTCACTTCATCAGATGTAGCTCACGAAAGCTCATGCTCAAATAAATTGGTTAGTCTCTAAGGTGCTACAAGTACTCCTTTTCTTTTTGCGAATACAGACTAACACGGCTGTTACTCTGAAACCTTTCTTTTTAAAAGCAATTCGGTGAAGTGAAGACTTATACTGCGTGTTCATCTTTTTAATAAAGTTATAGAAAATATAGCTACTAGTAACTCACTATATTATTATGTGAGAAAAATCTCTCTGAGTGAAATTCACCTTTGTGTGTAGGACCAGCACCTATTTTGAGGTCTTAAGTGGTCTCAAGTGATCCTTAAGCTCTTGCTGAAATTCTGCATAGGTGAATTTCAGCTTTAATTTGTAAGTATGGGAAAGTCCCCATTTTCTTTGAAAAGTCAAAAGTGAACAACTGATTCCTTGTGAGTAACTATGAAATACTTTCTAATTACATTTAAATTGCTTATGTATCCTGTGTGTTCTTTGTGACTAAAAACATTTTAAAACTGGATCAGTGTTTGTTTTAAAAATAAGAATGGTTACTGTTCCTTATTCCCCAACTGAATTCATGCTTCACAGTCAGAAAGAGAGGATTAAACATTTATCGAAGGAATAAGGATTTGAAACCATTAGGAAAGAGATAATAAGACAGAAAATATCATAATCATATGATATCATAATGCCATTATATAAATCTACACCTTAAATATGTGTGCAGTTCTGATTGCCCCATCTCAGAAAACAATATTAGAATTGGAAAAGGTACAGAGAAGGACAATAAAAACATTTAAGGATATGAAACTGCTTCTGTGTGAGGAGAAAGTAAACAGATTGGGACTATTCAGCTTGAAAAGAGACACAACTAAGGGTGGATATGATAGAGGTCTATAAATTCATGAATGGTGTGGAGAAAGTGAATAAGGAAGTGTTACTTACTACTTCACATAACACAAGAACCAGGATAACCCAATGAAATTTAATAAGCAGCAGGTTTAAAACAAGCAAAAAGAAGTACTTCTTCACACTTTGTACAGTCAACCTGTGGAACTCATTGCCGGGGATGTTGTAAAAGCCAAAAGTATAATGGGGTTCAAAAAAGATTTACATAAGTTCTTATAAATCTCAGGAGTAGATTAATTATCAGCAGATATCCTCAATAATAAAGACCAAAGGAAGGGAAATGTGAAAGTGTTCATATATAATCAAAGTTGTTTAAAATAGAATTTGCTCTGTTCTGCCCCAATGTGCTACTCACTTCTCTTTGACTTCAATGGGAGTTGCACGTGTATATCTCAGAGTAAAATAGGGTTCCAGTGTATTTTCCTTGAGGATTTCTTTCCTGAAGTTTAAAGCAGGGATTCCCAAACTTTTTCATAATGTGTGCCACTTAACAGAGAGACAATCTTTTGAACACTAATCTCCTTGCAATCATCATATGGCCAACCCCCTCCTACTGTGATCAAATAACATGCCTGTGGCAACAATTGTTGACATGGAATATTAATCTCAGCTTTGCATTGGGCATATTTTTATCTGTAATTTAATGTATTTGAGCAGGTGGAAACAAGGAGGATCCAGCACTATGTGCTTAGGCAGTTCTCCTTGAACCACCACCAAGTGTTCTCTGGAACACTGATGGTCAACATATTACAGTTTTGGGGACCCCTGGTTTGCAGACTGAAACTATCTGAAGTACTATGCTGGCAAATTGAAAGTTGGCTTTCTCCTAATTCATGGAGGGCCATAAAACCAGGTTAAATATTATGCTTTGAAGATACTTTCAAATCCAAACCTTCAGGGGCTGCTCTGGTAACTGCCACTTTATTAATAATTGTTAAAAGAAAAGTCAGCCCTAGCTAGAGGAGTGTAAACCTAAAAGAAAAAATTACCAACCAGACAAAGATGCCCTTTTCTAAGCATGTAAAAACTTGGGCCAATGTAGAGCTTTAAAGCGAGGAGAAGAAAAATCTACATTAACAGTAAAAATGTGGACTAGTCAAAGGATCCACCATTGCCAACTTGAAGAGTGTTATTGGTAGACATGAAATCACCCATCTTAAAATGATGGGGAGGCCTGCAAGTTTGGGTTACAGCCCCTCCCCCACTGCACAATGCATCAGGCTCTTTAGGGAGCAAGAAGCAGCATGGTTGGCAGGTCACAATAATCACCATAAAGTAGTAGGAACAAGGAAAAATTCTTCACTCTGCTGAGGCAGGCGGTTACAGTAAGGTAGAGCAGATAGTTAGTGCCTTGTCAGCCTTAGGGTGGTAGCCCATACTGTGTTCAGGCTACCCCCCAACTTAATCCTGAAAACAGCAGTGGCAGGGTTTGGGGTGGTATCCAGGAAAGGGGGGGGTAGCTTTTATGAGGAATGGGGTGATCCAGGGCTGTGGACTTTCATGGTTTGAGTGTGTTCAGGATCCTAGCCTACCTGTTCCCAAAGGTACTCCATGGAGCTGGACTTTTAAATCCTCGCTATCTAGGACAGGTTCAGTTCATGTATTCAAAGAGCCCAAATGATATGTATTATTATAGTATATCTAATACGACTTTCACAGTCTGACAGATTTCACAACAAATAACTTAGAATGCACATATTTTTTTCTATTCCAATTTTCTTTCTCCACAGAAACCTGGAGCGGAGCCACCAGAGGAGGATGAAGGCATTAAAAGAGTTGATCCGCTGCATCAGCTTATTCTGCTTTTCAGTCGAACAGCCTTAACTGAAAAATGGTAAGGTTGGTGTGAGGGGCTGTGAAATTTTTGCAAAATTTCTAGCTGCTTCCATTTTTTAAATTGCATCTCTTTGCCATGCAATATGTCACATATTCAAAGTGCTAAGCAAGCACTGACAGATTTGCATGTGACCGCACATGTGAGACCTGATTCTTTATTATATTGCCAGAGAGGCCTTACCATAACTGAGAAGCGGGTACATACAATTTTCTGCAAACAAACAGATATGCCTACAAATGTCAATGTCACATTTATGGTTGCTGTTGAAAATCTGTCCCGTGGTGTCTTCAGTAATGTCTGTATTCCACATTGAAAGGGATACCCACAGCTTGAAAATTATGTTATCTGAAAATGCTGGATTTACAATATAGCTAGAAGTAACTCCTCACAATCCTACAACTAAAGAAGTTAGAAAAAAAATTGTGTTTTCAGTTTGTTCAGCTCTATTTGTGTAGTCAATTTCACTGTTCAGCCTGTATTAGTTTATTAGTTCATTCTTTTCCTGAAAAAACCCTTATAATTAACAAGACAGTAGAAATACCCTTATAAAAAATTAAAGGAGGTTAAAAACAAAAATCAGGACACCCTATTTAAAAGGTGTGCTCTTGGAAACTAGAATTATTTAAAAATGTTCAATTTTCTGGTCCTCTTCTGAATATTTGAGGTTTTCAATTGTTTATGGAGATGCTGTATTACATTGATGGTTACAGTGTTTCTTCCCTTCTATTCCCTAGCAAACTGGAGGAAGATTACTTGTATATGGCATATGCTGACATTATGGCAAAGGTAACTTTTTCCCCATCTTTTGCATTTACCTTTTAATAAGAGAATGTAAGGGAGATTGAAAGAGTTTTGGTGGCCATGTTTTTTTTTTTAAAGCAAACTTTATTTGTGAATGTTTTGTTTTTACATGGTCTCAGAGCTGTCATGATGAAGAGGATGATGATGGTGAAGAAGAAGTGAAGAGTTTTGAAGTAAGTTTGAAGTCCTCTTTTTTGTTTCTTGTTTCATATTATACATTATTCCATAGCTTCTAACTGACATTTATGTTTCTTGCTTCATGGCTTCCTGCAACTTATTATGTAAATGAACTGCATGTCACAAGATGGATTAACAAATATGAGTAATCAGATTCATAGGAGTAAAACAGAAGGAGAAAAGATAGTGTTACATAATTATATACATACAAGCACACACACACATTTTATATATATATATATTGATGAGTGAACCTTAAAAGAGTCCATTTGGACAAACATGTAACAGTTCAATTGCTATCCTGAACCACAAATCATTCTGAAACTCTGATGAGAACTGTCTGACAAGATTTTCAATGGTGACTGAGTTTGGATGGGTAAGAAATATTGAAAGAATAGTGTTTATTGCAATAATATCATATATATATAGTAGCAGTAATTAGTACATTATTTGCATCTCTGTTTATAGAGCAATGACTGTTAAGAAAAGGTCAATATTTATCCACAGGTAGCATGTTATTTCCGATGTTTAGAATAGGAAATAACTGCACTAACTCAGACACTACTCTACGTTTACTGTAGATTAATGTTGACTTTGTAATCGTGATTACTATATGAGGGGGCACATGGTCTTGTGACTAAAGCACAGAAATGAGAGACAGGAGATCTGCATATGTGTTTGATGAATCACTTATCTGCAAAATATTTCTGGATATTTTTTCTTACTGCTATTTCACTTCTTGTCCTCACCCTTCCTTAAGGTCACAGGATCACAACGCAGCAAGGTAAAAAAAAAAAAAGTGTGTGTATTTGTCTGGGTCTAATTTTGTGACTTTTAGCTTTTAGATCCAACATCTTGGATAAGTTCATGTAAAAGGTCTAAAATATTTCTAACTATTTTCAGCTTTCGCATAACTTATCTTCACAGCACCCTTCATTTTGAACAAAAATGTATTCATCTTAAAACTTCAAGGATTGATTAATATGAAACTTTTTGACCCCATTAAATACAAAAACATTTTTCCCTTCTAGGGAAAATGGAATGACCTTTGACTTATTTTTTATTTTTTTCATATTATCTTAATCTTCTTGCCAATGGTACTTTTAAAAAAATGATTGCTGGCATTATTCCAAGAAATGTCAGTTTCCTTCTTTTCCAGTTATCACTCTTTAATTTCTATAGTTGAAACTGTTCTTCTTCAGATCGGAAGGGAATACTGTCATACTTTTGCTTTCTTTTAACAAGCCAACTTTGTGTGGCATCATATTAATCCAGGATTCATCCAACAAAGTCGTCGTTCCAATGTTCACAGCCTAATATCAAGTGTGTTACCTTTTCTGCAATTTAAATTCTTTGGAGTGAATTGACACTTTTTCCGAATTCTCCACTAATTGAAAGATCTAAATATAGAATTGTAGATTAAGTGACTGTTGGTCATTTAATCTAAAATATTTGTAACATGTTCAATGAAAATGGTTGGTGGTTGTTATCTTTCATTATGGGGCACCAGGTAGAAACTCTATAGTTAGGGTTGCAATCTAAAATGAGCTTAAAACGGGGCATTTATTTCTGTTTTTCTCAAAAAGTGTGTAGCCAGGTGGTGTGCAACTTCACATAGAGTTAGTTTTTATGCTCATTGAATTTCCTACATAGGCTTTGTATGATTTCTCTTCATACATTTTTAACAGAAGACTTTGTATTTCAGCTCCAGCTGAAGTTTTTGCTTGGCAGTCTTACTTTTCATTGTTGACTGAAATCTGTTTAAAAAAACTTTGTCTATCTACAAAAAACTTGCTAGATTGGTGTGTCCAGGGTAGATCTAGAGTAAGAGGTAATTTGATTGTTGGATTTAGGGCCATTTTTAATTGCTGTTTTCCTGATAACTTCAAGTTTATGCACGGTGCATACAAATCTGATGGTTGATTGGGACTAGGAATGCACATGACTGATGGTTGGGCTCCTGGCAGCAGGCACAGGACTCCAGCCACATGATGGGACTGAGAGCACATACAACCTGCTCCATCGGGAGTTATGTTTTTCTGTCAGATTTTATCTTACAAAAGAGGGAGTTTCTTGTGCAGCTGCTAATACATGAAAGTTTATTCATAGGTGCTGACAGATAAAATATACTCCATGATCAGCTGCATTTCTTCCTCCCACAAGTCTGCACACTTTTGTCTAATCGCCACTAAATAAAGCATTAAAAAAGCCTAGGAAACTAATACACAAAAAACATTGTGTGGAAGCAGGTGCAGTTGATCCACCTACAGCATGCATGACACAAACCCACAAAAGCAAGGAAACAATAAATTCTAAAATACCCACACTCCTTTCCTGCAGGATAAGAGGAAATGTTAAGGCTTAGAAATACAGTTGTCTGATTAGGATCCCAATGTTGAATGCCGTCCACTGATTCCATGTTCTGTGGGTCTGGAAAAATAGTGACAGTACAATGTGGTTGATGTTCAACTCTCTGCAATTCCTTCTCAATCAGAACCTCAGAAGGGTCATTCTTTGACAGAGCTTTAAGTCAAGGGACATGGTCAGCCCATGTCCTGTGCAGTTTACTCTTGCTTTTTGGCACGAATAATCTATATTGGGGCCTCTGTATGAGCAGCACACAGGTCAGAATATAAACCCGCAGTAATGATGTTCAGGCCTTAGTAAGTGCCTGTTTGCACCCCAGTGCAATATTGGCATGCAAACTTCTTGCATTTGCTCCCTTGGAATTTATTTTTCATTAGTAAGATTTCGTTAATAGAATGTGAGTGATTTTTGGCCAACAGAGCAAGATGCAGAAAACTTGCCTGTTAAGGGCTGTAAAAAGGTGGGGAACTAATAGCCAAATTCTGCCTTCCCATGTTGCATGATGAACTTCCATTTACTTCAGTGTGAGCCCAGTATGTATATCTGGAGGAGAATTTGTTTCACTTGTTGATTATCTTGATAGCTGAAGGAGACATTATCCTGAGACTTTTGTATGGCATTTTAAGAAGAGGTTCTCTCTCAAATTTATTTTATGTAACTAAGGTTCGTCCCATTGAAATGATCCACACATTGAATTTGATTTCTTGCCAGAGGCTTTGTATATAGAAATTAAGGTACTTAGACACCCCCAGTTGTCACTTCTATTATCTAGTCAATTTTATTTTTCTAAAATCTCTCATTTTGGTTCAGTGATTTATTCATCAGTTTTACACACATTCTAGGTACAACCCTATTACAAATAAAGTCTGCACACACTTTATAGAGTCAAACTCGCCAAATCCCAGGGACTTGACTTTATCAACAAAGAAACTAATATCAACATAACACAAATTCCAGCTCAAGATTCCCCTCTATGTTTAGGAGTTTCAAGGTTTTTTTCTGATGGACCTCTTTATACCAAATTCTAGAGTGAAATGGATCTGTGCAAACAACCAATATTTCCTTGAAGAAAATATAGTGTGGCAAATTTGTAATTTGTTGCAAGAGATTTGAATTTCTGAGCAAAGTTGTGTTCACTGACAGAAATGGTGAAATGTCACCCTACAAATCCTATATAAATCTAGAGCCAAAAATCTGCTACTAAATATTCACATCTTCTCTTACGGTCAAAGGGAGAATGCAGAATTTGCCATTCTGAGTCTGCATGAAACATTTTTGAAGAGACAAATGGATACATTTGTTGCATAGCTTTATGCACAGCTTAATCCTTAAGTTGTTCTGAACGAAGGACCCCATACTGGCACTTCGAAAAAAACTCCTGAAGCCAATGGATATTTTGCCTGTATAACAAATGCAAGATCAAGCTGACAAAAAAGACCAAAAGTTTTACTCTGTCATAGCCCAATCCCCCGACCCTAGCAACATGCTGGTGGGGGCGGTGCGGGGGCGAAGGAGTACTAGGGGAGGAGATCCTTTTGTCATAGGCTAGACAGCATTAGTGGAGCTACTCCAAAGCTGATACTGAGGCCTGTTGTTGTTGCTGTTTGTCTGCTGCATGTTGTCTGGAGCAACAGATAGTGAATATGCAAAATTCACCAATCCTGACCACCTCATGTCACTGAGTGAGGGGACATGGAGTGATCCCCTGTGAAGCTGGGCTGCATGGGGCATTGGTGGTTCAAACCTTCTATATGGGCTCTCAAATCCTATACTGCAGCACTTAGGAACCAAACTGGTTCTGGCTAAGCCCTCAGTGGTCAAAGAGAAGAGGACAGTTTTGCCCCTCCATGATGGTGCAAACAAACATGCCACGATAATCAAGTGATGAGTTTGGTAACTTCCTTATTTGTCCCCTAATTATTTTTAACAGAGTAGTTATGTAATTATCTTACTGAGCATATCCCAACTTGCTGAGCATCTCCCAGCCTGGAAGGAGAGTTTGAGATATTAACCATTTCAAATTACCGCGGACTCAGATGTGCTAAATAGGTTCCCAACTTGGATTGTAAAAATCTTTTAATTTCACTGGACTGTTTTAATAATACAGATGCAAAAAACATAATTTGCAACTATTTCAAAGATGTCACTCTCCCCTTCCACCCCATGGTGTAAATAAAGAGATTAATTGAAATAATGTATAACTCTATAGGTTATTTAAGGGAATTTATCTTTTCAGTATTTTAGGAAAAAAATATTGGAACACAGAAGACATAGCTTTGCAAGCTTGCTAGCCAAGTGTGTTTCTTTTCAGAGCATGCTTGTAATCTTGTACATTCCTATCTATTTGAATAGGAATGAGTGTTTTGAGTGATCTCATTTGACCAACACTGCAAGTATAACACTGCTTCAACATTGCAAACCAGTATATGGATGCAGGAAACATGAAACAAAACAATATCAATGTAAGTCTATGGGGATGAGGTTGCAATGGCATGGCAATGCTAATGTCAAAATGAAAGCAATAAAGATGTTGAGGCAAGTCTACGTGGAGACAATTCAGTCCCATTTTGCTGTAATAAGTGTGCAGTGGGAGTCTTAACTCTGAATTTCTTTGTTCCTGTAGATTTTT